TCTTGCCTGTTCATTTCTAAACTAAAAAGTTAATATTCTTAATTCATAGACATATTTTTAAGTTTAGTTTCACTTCTTAAATTATTAGACATAAGTAAGCATCAAAGGAGTGGTAAAAATGATGCTCAATATAATAAAAATTGAACTTTTATTTTTAGATTGAACTTTTAGCTTTCTTTTTTAGACTTATCTAAATTAAAGTGTAAACAAATGAAACAGAGCATAATATATGCTAATGTGTATGCATATATTATGCATACATAATATAATAATTTAATTATGTTCTACCTCTACTATTAGTTATATTTAAATTAGATGTTTCAAAATAATTGAGCAATGTGTAAAGATAACATATTTCTATCAAGAACTTAAACTAAAGTTATAAGTAAATTGATATAATCTTTATAACTGAGTAATGTTATATATTCAAAGTAGTTATTGTTAATTATTGAAAAAATATTATAAATATTTATTCAAAAATTAGTAATTTAAAATTTTTAAAATTTTTAGATATAAGAACTCATAAATAAAGCAAATTGAAAAAATTATAAGGCCTGTTTGTTCAGCAAGTACTGCTAGCATTGAACGGTGAAATGTAATCATAAAATTCCTATCATTAATTTAAAACGCATTTAAAGCAAGATTTGCAATAAATAAGTAGGGAAACCTAGGGCAAAGCGAGATACTTTCAGGGAGAATGTTCATAACTAGAGAAGTATCACGTTTCACAGCAAGAAATTTTGCAGGTCACTAGCACATTATGTGTTTAACGATCTCTTAAATATTTGCGATGACAGGTTGTTGCATTGGTACATAATTAAACTCAAATTGGCAACAACTACTCTGTCTCACTTCCCTCAAAACCTGGAGCAAAGTGAGACAAAGTTTCATGTTAGTTTACAAATTTAAATAAAATCTATTCACATAAAAAGCAAACATCGTTTAATGTGCAGTCTTTGTGTACCCAAACAGTACATGAACAACAAGCTATCCAGTCAATTTGGGTATTATTGCACCATTTCCCTTGACAAACTCCACAAAACCATTCCTCTTCATTGTTTACATCTTTTTCAATCAAGCATTTTTTTAATTTTCTTTTCTTTTTGTTGTTTTAATATTTTTCTTATTTAATCTACTGTCATTGTAATTTCCAGTAATTTTTTTTTCTTATTGTTCTTTTTTTTTTTCCTATTGTTTTTTTCTCATTGTTCTTTTCAAGTAAAATTTTTTCCTATCTGGACAGCTAGTTATAATCTGAGATTTTTTAGGTAATTTTCTTTTGGAGGATAAAGTTTTGTAATTTGAAGTATGTCTTCAAAAGAGCTTGATGAAGTAACAGTGGTCTCTGAAAAGCTTTCTACTGGCTTTAATTTATTATGACTCATTAATTCAAATGTAGTCGATTCTGGCTGCTATAAAATTTCACTTTCTTTTATGTTATCGCGTTTAAAATGAATTTCATAAGGTATGGATAAGCTGATTTTATTATTATCACTCAAAGATATCCTTGGATATTCATTTTCTAACAAATACAGATTAAATGGGACAATTCCAGTTGCTCTAAAACTTGAATTGGCATTTTTCATCTTAGCAGCTCTTTAATATGCTTCATTAAAAATTTCTCCAAGATTTTCTGTTTGAATTCATCTTCCTGAATGGTTTTGCTTCCGTCTCATACATGCTTGATTAAAAAAGGTTTTCAAAGGCTTAAAAAATCCACGGTCCAATGGTTGAAGTTAATGAGTTGTGTGTGGTGGTAGCGAAAGCAAAAACAATCCATTGTCACGAGCATAGTCTATAAGTTTTAAGCTTTTGGTATGAGAACGGTGACCCTCAAATATAAGTAATATTTTGTTGATAAAAGTGCATCGTACATGTTTAACAAAATTTTGTATATATTCTAGAAAGAAATCAGTATTAACACAGCCATTTTCTGAGCATCCTTGAATAGTTTCAACTGGAGCATTATCTGTGACTAATAATTTTTTTTTTTGCGCTTAAATATCATCATGGGTGGTACATAATGACCAACAGAATTACATGTACATAAAATTGTTGTTGTGACTCCTTTTTCCCCACTTGTCACTGATGAAACACACCGTTTTCCTGTAGATGAGATGAATTTTAATGGCTTATGGACGCATTACAACCCAGACTCATCACAATTGAAAAATTTGTTGTCACTCAAAGTGATATTTATTTAACAAATTCTCTAAATTACTAAAATAGATTTTAATATTATCTTTGTTCAAACCAAATACTCTGTTTATAGAAAATTGCTTCTGGTTTTCTTAGTGATAAATCAGAATGGCGTTTGAAAAAGCCTCGCACAAAGGATTTGGAATTAATTTTTTTTTGCAGAACTCAAATACTATCAATCTAACATCCATCATTGAGAGACCATAAAATGAATTGTCCATATCTTTCATATCTTTATTTAGATCATGTTCTTGATTATCAGAAAGCACTTTTCTAAATCTTCCTAGTAAATTAGTATGTAAACTACTTTCAAGTGAAGCATTTTTAACACGCCGATGTAGTGAATCTTTTGGCACACTAATGTTTTTACAAGCTTTTCTTTAAGACATCTGCTTCAACTTTACTGCTGTAATAGCATTTTTGATGTCATCTTCGTTCCAGTTTGCTTGATTAGTTTTTCTCTTGTAGATTGTCATTTAAAATTTTGTGGTCACTAAATTTCAAGAAAGTTATGCTATATTCTTTTAAAGTTTCAAATAAAATAATGTTTTACTTTTACATAAAATTCTTTGACAAAATGATGATAGCAAGTTAAACTTGCCAAATTTATAAACTTGCTATCGTAAACGTTTACTTTGACAATTTATTAAGTTTATAAACTTGCTTTCCTTAACGTTTACTTTGATGATCTTTTTCAATAACTAGCTTTGTCGCACTTTCCCCGTAAATGTGAAGTTATATGTTTCTTAAATGTGAAGTTATATGTTTCTTAAATGTCTTTGAAACAAAATAATCTGACATAAAAAGAAGAATAGCAGCTGAAAGATAAAAAATAAATGATTGCAAATTTGATGTTTGTTCTGTGGTGAAAAATGGCAGCGTACGTGGATTTTTTCCACGTTCCATTTTTAAAATTAATTTTGATTTTTTAATCAAATTGACGCAACTAGTAAGATTTAAACCCATTTTTCTATGTCATATTATAAGAAAAAACCGATGGAAATTACTTTAAAACATTAAAAAAACATGTAATTTTTAATATAATAAACCAAAATCACTGTTACATTTAAAAAAAAATCTGTACAATGCTAGAAAGCCTAAATGTCTCACTTTGCCCCAGGTTACCCTAAATACAAAACTAATAATAAAAAATCTATTAACAATTATATAATTGCTTTAAGTGAAAAAACTTGGAAATATTGAACTTCTTGAAATATTTTAAATTTTTTTATATATTTAACATTTTAAAGAAAAAAGGTCAATAATACAATGCAGAAAAATTTTAATGTGTGTAAGTATATATATATTATATATATATTATATATATATATATATATTTATATATACTATATATTATATATATATATATATATATATATATATATATATATATATATATATATATATAATATATTATATATATATATATATATATATATATATATTATATACCCAATGGGGATTTTCAAAAGTTTTAAGTTTGTTAAATAGACTTTTACTTTTGGTCCTGTAATAGATATTTAGAATTCAGTTGCGGTCAAAAAACCTTTCGGCTGAATATAAAGTGTTTTTATTTTTTTTGTTTTGCGTCTGGTTAGGTATCTGTGTCTATTTATTATGAATAACGAACAAAAAATGTAAGGTGTTATTTTTTTATTACATTAAACATAAAAATTAAATAGTGATAAATGTTTTGACTATATTCAGTTTTATAAATAGTTCTTTGGGCTTTACAATTGCGCTGCACCAAGCTATGTTTGCGTATTTCAGATAGCAATGAATAAAGAAAAAATATCGCAATTTTAAACAAGTTTGATTTAATAAAGACTTGCTTTATAAAGTAGATTAATATTTCTTGAGATTTTACCTTCAAGATAATGTATATGATCTGTCCAAGTTACGTTTTCGTCAAGGAGTACGCCTAGAAATTTTAATGAGTGTTCTCTTTTTATAGCTTGATTGCCAATACAAAGTATTGGAAGTTTTAAAAGAATTTTCTGGCGTTCATAAAAGCGACGGAAAAAAGTATACTTTTGTTTTAGTTAAACTAATTGATAATATATTTGCATTAAACCATTTTATAAGTTTTAAGATTTGCATGTTAAAAAAAATAAAAAAATTAAAAAAATTAAACAACATTTTTATATCATAATGAGCATAAAACAAATTTCTATTATTAGCACAAATAACAACAAATTATTTCAATTAATAAAATAATAAAAACACTAATAGTAATAACAATAATAATAACAGAAGAAACAGCTAAAATCCAAATTATTAACAAAAATCTGAATTATTTGAATATCTATAAGAAAAAAAACCAACTACATTGTTTTACTTTAATATTGAAAGCGAATTTACGATTTTATAGACGTTTAAATGGTATAGAAAATGATTATTTCTTGATAAATTCTTTAGAGAGAGAATACAGTTAAATTTGTATCTTCAACCTTGAAAAGAGACTTTTTGTCAGCAATTACAAACTGAGAGTTGGTCTTTTAGAAAAACGAACATTTAAAGTGTGAAAGATAAAATAAGCAGTCTAACAGTAAGTTAAAAGTAAATTAAATAAAAATTTTTTAGCCGCACCATTTAGTATTAATTAAAAAAACTTACTGTATTGAAATCTGCATTGATTTAAAATTTAATGTTTTGAAATCAATAATTTACTCCATTCATTTAAATACCATTTATCCGATTGATAATTGATAGACAATAAACACAGTGCTCGTGATGCAAGTTTTAAATAAATGCTAATGAAGCAAATTTACTTTATCAAAAAAACAATTTAATATCTGGAAAAAAATTAATAACATTTTTGATTGATAAATCTATTTAGCCTAAGTAAGTCTATAGTGTGCATCGAACAACTTCACCCTAACAATTAAAAGCCTGTTACGACACCAGCGCGTACAAAGACCATATCCTGACCGCATTTGAACAATTGCCGGGATTTTGTTGTTATAAAATAGTTAAGCATAGGTATTAAAAGAATATTCAATTTTATTTCATATATACATACATATATATCTATATATATACATATTTATATATGTATACATACATACATATATATCTATGTATATATATATATATATATATATATATATATATATATATAATATATATATATATATATATATATTATATTATAATATATATATATATATATGTATATATATATATATATATATATATATATATATATATATATATCTTATACTGCTGAGTTAGGTGAGCATAATGATGTCATACTCCCCTAACATCATGTATATATATATATATATATATATATATATATATATATATATATATATATATATATATATATATATATATATATTTATATATATATATATATATATATATATATATATATATATATATATATATATATATATATATAATATATATATATATATTTATATATATATATATATATATATATATATATATATATATATGTATGTATATATAGATATATATGTGTGTGTGTGTGTGTGTGTGTGTGTGTGTGTGTGTGTGTGTGTGTGTATGTGTTTTCATATAGTATATACATATTTTCTTTTTAAAAAAAATCCATAACATTTTCAATTGTTCTTAAATGTATTTAAGTATAATTGAACTGAATGTTTTTTTTATCATTTTTTGTTTATAATGGAATGTTATACATATTGTATGTTTCTAACAAAGTTAAACAAAAGTTTCCTAATAAAGCACTCCCCGCTAGTTTTAAATGGCGTTTTAAAGATGCCCAACTGGTTGCTTTCATAACCTCAGTTGTATCAACGAGCAGCATTTGCATTTGTTATTCGTTTAATTGAAACCTATTGAATATGAAGTTATCTTTCTTGCCAATCAACCTTATGTCGTTGGTTTTAATTTATACTTTGTACTTCAAAAAAGTATTTTACCGAATGGCAGATAAAAAACACATAATCTGATTTACAAGACAACAATACAATTCCTCAATCTCCAATATCTAAAATAGATTGTATTTTTAGGCTACAAATCCGTTTAGGTTTTAGGTTTAACTTTTTAATGCTTTTTTTTTTTGTTATCGTAAAAAACAATTTAAATTTATTTGGAAATCTAAAAAAAAAAAAGAAGCTTAATGGCTTTGTACCTCTATTTCGTGGCCATTGCGTTTTTTCTGCTATCGAAACAAGTTTAGTCGGTTTTCTTTTATTTATTTTTTTTGTAGAAGGTGTATGGCTCAATATGTGAAAGTAGATTTGATTATAAAAGCCCTATAGGATAGTATTTAAGGACTTTTGATTCTTTATAACTTTAATAAATAAATAATTTAAAATTACTATAATTGTGCTATATTTTTTTTTGTATGTTTTAAAGAAATTATTTACCCTCATACTACTATTTTTTATTTTTTGCCGCAACATTAATAAATACTTTCATTAATTACATTTTTATTGATGGTGTAAGATGGTGCTTTTATTTACGTTATACAGCTAAAGTGTTTTGAAACACTTTCTACGTTTTGATCAGCGTTTTTAAGCATACAAATTAGTTTGCCGGGGATAAAGTAGCAAAATCACGCATTTTTAATATGTCATAAGTAAACTTGTTCATTTGTCATATTTATTATGTGGGATCAAACAACAAAAGCGAAAAGGATTTAGTTTAAAAGTAGCGTGTAAACTTTTGATTAAATTTTTTATGGTTAGCATTTCAATGCATCGTTTAAAAGCAAACAAGTGAAAGATGTTAAGTTTTCTTTTTCCTAATATTCTAAAGAACCTTAAGGCTACTGCACCTAAAAAGTTACTATTAATGATTTCCAGCATAATGTTTAATGCATATTTCTTAATTCTGTTTTTATGTTATGTGTTTATATTGTTTGTTTACTTCTAATTTAATTTTTTTATTATAATTTTTTGTTTTATTTGAAAATGTTTAGCTAAAAAAAGTATGGTAGATATCAAAAAACTTAAATATGTTGCTTCGATACTAATGTTCATTTTAGTTGCTGGTAAGATTTTCTTAACTTATGCTTAATTTTATGGTTATTTTAACTTAATTTATTCTAAATTAATGCTTGTTAATGCAGTCATTCTCACTTCATTTTAACTTTTCTGAAGTTACAGTTTTTATTGTTTATTTTTTTTTACTTGGTTGTTGTTTTTTTGGTTTCTGATTTACTAAGTAATCTTTTTATAGAAGGTTCTAAATAAATTTATTTACATACTAGCCCATTTACATACGAGCGCAAGCCCGTGTACGTGTTTGTGTGTTTGTGCGTGTGTGTTGGCGTGTGTGTGTGTATGTGTGTGTGCGTGTGCATGTGTGTGTGTGTGTGTTTGAGTGTGTAGGAGAGAGATAGAGAGAGAGAGCTAATTAGTGTTGTTGAATGATGTGTTTCAAAAAAATAGCTTTTTTTTAATTCTCTTCTAGCGGACTCTTTGATCAAGTTTTTCAAAAAGTTTATCTAAAAAGGGTTGGATCAAATTTTGTGACACTGTCATTTTTTTAAAAACATCATCATTTGTCTTTAATAGAAAAATACACATTTTTTTACAATATTTATTATTTTTAATATTGACGTAATACTAATAAAACAAGTGGAATATTAATTAGTTTTAAATAATTTTGTTTTTATTTTAAAAAATATATTGATTTTGTGATATTAAAACTTACTACGTCATCTATAAATATGCTTAGAAGAATTTGATGAATTTACAATACACTCAAACCATGCTTTGAAGCCACTGCTTTAAATCTCAATAGCCAAGTAATTTTGTTTATGACGTATGAGTGAGATAAATAATAGTAATTTAAGATAGGCGTGTTTTAATCTCTGCAGAGGTTTTAGTTTTTCCTAATTCCATTTTGCTAAAAATAGTTGTTTTTTTACTTAAAATACTGATTGCAATAAAAAATAAATAAATAATGCTATGCAAAAAACTTGCTAACATTAATATTTTATATTATATATTATATTAGTAAATGTGTTATTTGCCTAACAACTAACACAAAAACACAAAACACAAAAAAAATTTAACACAACAACACTTTTGAATTAAAAAATTGAAAACAACATACAAATGGCATAACTGAATGTGAAAATAAATATTTCATGTTATCCACTAATTTTGACCTATGTTACAAAACAGTTTTTAGCGCATGGTCAGCAATAATTGACAACTTTTTTTTAGTTATTTAAATCCGTTTTATAAAATCAAAAAAATGAAAAAATAAAGAAAAAAAAACAGGATCCGATTATGTTCGGCTGTTTCATTAAATTGAACTAATTTAGAGGGATTAATTAAATAAATATAGATATAACTAATAAGTTTTGTACTTTACTCCGTTATTGATTATTAGAGTAAAATAAGAAATTAGTTACGCAGTATAAAAAGTATTATTTACATACGGGGGTCGTCCATAAACTAACAACGCAAAATTTAACTTTTAAATGAAACTGAATAAAAAAAGAATTTTCTTCTGCATCATTTACTCTATGAAACTACATTTTTAATTTAACGTTTAGTTTCTAAATTTAGTTTAGAAACCTGTAAAAGCCTTAATAGTTTCATAAAATATAATTTTTTTAAATACATGGGTCTAAAATCCATTCCTTAATATTGCTAGGAAATTCAGAAAATTTAAACTTGAATTTAAGTTTTCGATTCATGTTTGACATTAAAGGCTATGGCGAATCCAGGGACTTATTGATGTTTCCGATATAATATTTCCAGGTACTGTTTGATACCATATTTGCATTAGTTTTTTGAAAAGAATTCCATAGGTCCTCGATATGCTATTGAATATTCTGTATATTTATTTAATTTCCTTGGCAGTTTAAAGGAATTTGTTCTTAAAAAATACTTTTCATTTAAATTTTTTTCAAACTTACAAATAAGATTAGCTGGAGCTGGGTTATTAATATATTTATACATGAAAGTTTGGTGCCGATAAAAATTTATTTCGTAAACATTCACCATTTTCATATTTCTCATTAAGGGTTTAGTATGCTCTCCTCTTTTTTTCCCGTAAATAATTCTACATGCATGTTTTTGAAAACTATGTATTTTTTTAAGTTTTGATGGTTGTGTACTAGCCCATATAATATTAGCATAACTAATGAAACAACAAATTAAAGAAAAGTATATTATCTTAAGACAAACTGTATTTACATATGGACGAATACGTTACATCAGACCAATGGTTTTACTAACTCTTGATTGTCTTGATTTTTGCTTTTGTTAAATAACAATGCTTTAATAAAAATTGCGATGATTGGAGCCTGGGATCAAAAATACACAAAAAAAAATCCCGAACACCATATTACGTTGCCCCTATCGTCAGGAAAACTTTAGGATCTTTGGACGAACGCTTCCCCGATGTCAGTTTAACGTGTTTAACTGCTTGGAATACCCTCTTAGCTTTTATGTGAGGGCAATGATTTGAAAAAACATTTTGATTCACCCTCTTATACTAAATTTAAGGTAATTGACAATTTTCAAATTTCACTTTATTATCTTTTAGTTTTCGAAAGTTATGGTCATGAAACCCTTTATTTCTAGACATTCTTAAGAACACATTTGAAGTTTTCACAACGCTTAGAAGTATCATACCTAAAATATCAATAAGTTATGGATCCGCCACTGATTCGAGTTTGCATTTTTATGAATATTTTTTTTTAATTGATTATGAATACAAATGCATTTGTACTCCAATGTATACAGTGACAGTAATGCTTTACTTTACATTTAAATGTACAGAAAAACGTTACTGAGTGCAGTAAAATTTTTCTGACAAGTACAAATGCATTTGTACACGAGTATATACTTGTCATTATTTAAAAAAGGTTTACGTAATAACGCAACCTCAAATCATGATTAAAGATTTAATCTCAATTTTGAGGTCAACCTCATAAAAACTTTTGAGGTTGACGCAACCTCAAAAGTGATTTGCAAAAAACGCAGGTGCGTTTTTTAGTAGATTTGATTGTGCAAGAAAAAAGGTTATTTCATATTCTAAAAATAATATATAACTGTATATTCTAGAAATAAAAAATTACGGATTTGGATATAAATCCAAGGTTAGGGTTTTTAAAAGTATGCTGGTTTAAAAAAGTTTAAGAAATACATAATATTCTTCTTAATAAAAAAAAGGAAAATTATAAAAAATCTCAGGAATATTGAGTTAAATTTACTAAGGTATGTGAAATCAAAACAAAACAAACTTTTTGCTAAACTAGAAATTTGGAATTTTATTGGCTAATAATACAAATGCAGCTGCAGGAGCGGCTGGCGATACACAAGAAGAGCGAGCGATACTATAAGGTGACTGAAACCAAAAAGACTAAGGTAAAAATGGATTTTTGTTCTAATACGAATAACTAGGCTTAGAGAAGTCAAAATTGTTAAATAAAGGTCAAACGAGATGTTCAAACAAGATTGATAGGGGAAAGAGAAAGGAGTAAATGTCTCAGCATTATCATTACATGAAGGAAATGCTTTAATATATAACTTCAATATTTCTATACATAAAAACAAGTTAAATTTTTAAAAACAAATTATATAAAAACTCAAAATGTTTGGAGGCAGCATCCCTATATGCACAGGACATAAAAAAGACGTTTCTTAAACGTCTTTTGAACGTCTTTTGAAGGTTTATGATGTCTTTTGAACGTTCAAAATACGTCTTTTTCAGGTCTCGCAGTAGCTAAGACTTGAGCTTCTCTTAAAACTGAAGTTACCAACATGATATAATGTGGATGTCTTTAAACGCACTACGCTTCATAATGAATTAAACAGTGATGAAAATCAAACTTGAATCCCTTTGAACAGTATTATAAAAGATACTTTTGAGTCTCTGATTGAAATATCCAAGTTTAATGCTGATAGCTATCATTCTCTATATGTTGAGGTTTATTTTGAGTTTGTTGGGTCTGGAAACCATAATTATTGCCATCTGTTTTCTGATCCACAAGATGCTGACTTAATAGGAAATAAACTGTATTTGATCTTGATTTGATTGGTTCTCTTTATTTAATCTTGATTTGATTGGTTCTCTTTATTGTCACCTTGAAATTTAAGATGCAAACAATCAAGTAATCTGATTTAATCCAATAATAAAGTTAGTAAGATTTGGTTTAAAAATTCAGCTCGTTCTGTTTATTCAGAAAATGGTTTACAAACATTCATCAAAATAGATAGGTATGATTGATGGAAAAATGGCAAATATATTCGTTGGTGGTTATGGAGCTTTTTGCCACTGCTGCAACTGCTCCAGTAGTAATGCCGATGATCTTGCATGCATACTACACGGATTCTCTATAGATTTAAACTACAATGATCTGCTCAGTACAAAGAGCGAATACAGAAATTTTTATAGGTGATGTCTATACTTTAATGCAACTTTTCTAGCCACTAGAGAAGTGGAGGGAGAGGGAGCGGTGGCAGAGCTGTAAACTTTTTCAGCTCTGCCTGATGCCTTAGTTTTCAGTTCATAAAGTTGACTTTTAATACTTGTCTAATTTACTTAAAGAAATGAACAAATGAGAAGGCAAATCAAGAGCGGAATTCTCCTAAAATAATAAAAATATTCTTATAGTTATTAACATCACAAAATTTTTGTCGATGAATAGACATCGAAGCAAAAGAATTAAATATCGACTCTATCATGCAACTTTGTTTATAAGTTTTGATACCAATAGATTTTAAAATGTTTCCTTCAAATCTGGTATATAAAAATGCAAAAACTCTGAAAAAAACCTAACTTTTACAAGAATTATTTTTTAATGTTGCAGAAAATTCTCTAAATGTTCGCTAAATCTATCTTCTAATTCATTAACTAAATGACCAGCAAGAAGAGATGTAAAGTAATGTTTAAATCTGAAGCATCAAGAGTTATAGCTAGCTCAAGAGTCTTTGGGTACCAGTTGGTATGATAGACATTTTTTTAACTCTTTAGTTTGTGTTATTAAACATTCAATTTCGTTACACTGTTGTGATATATTAAAAGTCTTAGTAGTACAACGCCATAGAAATGATTTGTTATTTGTTTTATTAAAAGTAAACATACAATAATAGGAAAATTTTTCATAAAATAAAAACATTAGGCATGTTACTGCAGTAGTGTTGATCAACACTATAATTAAACACTGACAATTGTATAAACACTATAGTTTTTATCTTCATACTTCCATTGAGTGAAAAGCATCTAGACTTCTATGTTTCTAAACCTATTTAGTTTGGCATATATCAATTAATTTTGCTTGACCAGAAACAATGAACTTAATAAGATAGCATGCACATTTAGCATAAACATTGCACGGTTTACAAACAAATATATTAAGTTTATAGCACACAGTGAAAAAAAGACCTTATGAAATTAAAATTTCTAGTTCTAGGAAACACCCCCCCCCCATCCCCTAGTTTTTCAGACAGTGCCCCAGAACATCATCCCTATGATCTCTACATTTTTGGATATTGAAAAAAATATCATGAATTGCAGAGATTATATTTTGAGCAAGACCAAGACTTGTACACTAAAACTATGTTTTGTACATAATTTATATTTAAAAAATCGCTAAATATTTTGAGAAACAAAAATTATTATATCAGTCAATATACATTATAAAAAAAGATTTAAACATTAGAACAATATAATATATATATATATATATATATATATATATATATATATATATATATATATATATTATATATATATATATATATATATATATATATATATATATATAATATATATAATATATATATATATATATATATATATATATATATATATATATATATATATATATATATATATATATATATATATATATATATATATATATATAATATATATATATATATATATATATATATATATATATATATATATATATATATATATATATATATATATATATATAGGCACCATAGTCCATAGATAAAATTAAATAAACAGTAAATAAAAAGTACATATACAGCTATCTAAAACAAGCCATCTTTCGTACAATCTTAAAACTCTGTTAACCGGACTAACAGTGAAACTTCTTTTGGCACACTCGACGAGACAAAATATTAATAACAGATGGAAGCCTTAACTCTAAAAACATCGGAGTGAGCTGCAATATTTGCTATGATAAAATTGTTTCACAGAGATGCATTATGTAAGCATATACCCAATGTGACTAAAATAATTTTACTTCAACTAGGCTTGAACACCTGTAAAAGCGTCCTATAAACATATTTGTTTGAGTATATAGATTTTTTCATCTCTTTTTTTCTTATACCCATATCATCTGATAGATCATAATACCAAGGTATTTAAATCTGTGAGCCAATTCCAGTTTACAACACTCAATTCCAGTATACAACTCTCAATTTCAGTTTGCTATACTCAATTTTGGAAATAATAACGACACAATTTTTGATTTTTGTTTTTGGTTCAAAACCATATAAACTGTCTTCTTTTTGTATAAAGACATATTAATATATAAGACCTTGTCATTAATTGCATTTAATAATTTCTGGAGAGAAAACCAAGATGGAGCTATAATGTCATCTAGGTTCTCTCTGCAATATTTTCTACTGAGAGAACCAAGATGGAGAAAAATCTCTACTATATTGCACCTAATACGCAAACTTGAAATATTAAATACTAAACTACTAATGTAAAGTATCAATAGTAATGGTGATAAAATACCATTTACACCATTTCCTATACTAATTACTGTACCAAAATGCAAGCAGAATCAAAATGTTTTTTTATATTCCTTGATCTAATAGGTTACAGAAAAGAAGCCAATAATCAATGTTATCAAATGCTTTAAAATATATAACGGTGTAAATACATGACTACTTCTAGGTGTAGTAGTTAACAGATTTCTTTAACTAGATAACTTGTACATATAATTGTAGAATGCTTCTGCTTAAAACCAAACTGGTAGTCATCTAAATTGTCTAAAAATATAGACCCTTCCTCACAGTTGAAGTTGCCAGCAAAAATAATATGGATAACATTTGCCTCAGGTTTAAAAGACTTTATTTTTGAATATAAATCAATATAGTTAAGGAGACTGTGCTCATTGTTATAAATTATTGGCATACTCTCGAGTCCTTAATACATGGGGGATGGGACTAAAAGGAGGGGGTAAAAATTTGAGTCCAGATTTAATAAACAGGGGGGTTTTAATGAAAGGAGGGGGAGTTTTTTATGTTACAATATAAGTATTTTTTATAAAAAATTTCAGTTTATTAATCCAAACTAACGTTTTTTACCAAACACGCATAAAACCATTTAATTCTAGCATGACTTGCAAGAGGTTCAAGCGCATTTTCTAACGGTCTGCGGTCCAAGAGCATTTTCTAACAGCTGCTTTATAATAATTAAATAAATTATACGTTAACATAAGTTTTATATTTTGGTGAGAAATAAACCAAAACCTCGTTTTCGACAAATCGAGATTTACTTGGTCGGCGAATTTTAAAGCCTGTTTATTTTAATTTATTTTAAATTTAATCTACAACGGAAAAATTCATGAAGCTGGGAAAGAAACCAATCCCTGCTATGGTAGATCCAGTATAGAGGATTACCAAACAAAAATAAAAAAGAAATAAAGTTATTGGCTAGTTTTGTAAACAGCTTTAAGAGCTTTTATTTTTTCAATTGAAAAGGGTCCCCATGCTGCTGAGCAATACTCCAAATGAGGCCTTACACAAGAGCAGTAAAGGACGCGGAATATTTCAAGAGTTCAATGTTTGAAAGTGCGTCTAAGAAATGTATATGAGTTTGAACTTTGTAGCTTTTGCTACTTGATTGTTCCCCGAAAACCGATTGTGAACAATAACACCAAGATTATATTCAGAGATTATCTCTTTAAAAATGTGAGAAAATCCAGTTTTGTAAGTCGTTGTTAGTTGGAAGCAGGGATAATTAAATTTATCATCAAGTTTCATTTGATGTTAAACAATTTACTTTACTTTTTAACCGAAAATGGTCAACAGATACAGATATAAAATATGAAGAGTATCAAGGATATTTACTTCTCAATTTTTACAGAGTTCTTAATTTTAAAAGTATCATACGTACAATCAGTAACACCTTTCTCTGTAGTTTGAGGATCTAGAATCAATTTAGAATTAAGTCTCTTATTGGAATTAGAAGATCTTAAAATAATATAATTTGTTTAAAATAACCTTTTCTTTATTGGCTGTTTTTGATTAGCATTTCTAACAATATCTGAGTATAGTTGGCGTACTGATGTTTCTGCTTATTTTTGTACAGTTTGTTTATTTTTTAGGTGAGGACAGTCATTATAATTTATAAGAGTAGTCCTATGACTGATGTTAACATAACAGAGCATTAATAGTCCTATGAGTGCTGTTTAAGACAGGGTGGTTCATTGTAATCATAATCTGTGAATTTGGTTTGGCCTGTTGACTTTGGTTTTCTTTTAAAACATGGTGGTTCATTTTATTTATCATAGTTTTCATTTAAATATGAAAACTCGAAAATTATTTTACTTTTGATTGAAAACAAGTAACCTCCTGGAGCAAAGTACGTTTAAAAAAAGTTAATAAAAACACCATTATACTGTTTTATACTGTTTTATATCAATGTATTCTGCGCTAACAGGGGGCAATCTAAATAAATTAACTGCATAAAAACTAGACAACTTATTATTAAGGTCTAGAAGCACCTTTAATTAACCTTTTGCAGTTTTCTTGCATTTATCACTTCTGTGTCTTTTAACGAAACATTTTTCAGGAAGAAGCTGACAAAGTACTGCTTTAGCTTCAAATAATTCTTCCTCACTGTAGAAGTAAATAATTTGAACATTGTCATCAAAACCTAATACATCAGATTTATTTTGTTAAAAAAAAAAAAAGGCAGTCCATTACGAACAACTTCCAAAGTACTGCCATCTGATTCCATAATTGGGAGGGCTACCACCTTAAAACAGTGGATAACCTACCTTGTATATACGTTGTACATCTATATATACGTTATTATACACATTCAAAAGTTAATAAAAAGACCATTATATTGTTTTATACACCATTATACTTTTTACTTTAGGAAAAAAACCTGTCACCCGTCCAGAAGTTGAGCTACTAAACGTTTTATTCCGTAACTATAATTATGACGCCCTTCCCACTGAACCTGGAAAACCAGTCAACTTAACCTTTGATCTAGCTATAAGACAAGTTCTAGATATGGTAAAAATTTTGTGGATCTTTTTTGTGTATTTGAATGCATGATTTAGCCGTATATATAAAATTACTTTTTATACATACATACATACAAAGAATACATACATACATACATACATACATACATACATACATACATACATACATACATACATACATACATACATACATACATACATACATACATACATACATACATACATACATACATACATACATACATACATACATACATACATACATACATACATACATACATACATACACCCATACATACAAACATACATACATACATACATACATACATACATACATACATACATACATACATACATACATACATACATACATACATACATACATACATACATACATACATACATACATACATACATACATACATACATACATACATACATACATACATACATACATACATACATACATACATACATACATACATACATACATACATACATACATACATACATACATACATACATACTACATACATACATACATACATACATACATACATACATACATACATACATACATACACCCATACATACATACATACATACATACATACATACATACATACATACATACATACATACATACATACATACATACATACATACATACATACATACATACATACATACATACATACATACATACATACATACATACATACATACATACATACATACATACATACATACATACATACATACATACATACATACATACATACATACATACATACATACATACATACATACATACATACATACATACATACATACATACATACATACATACATACATACATACATACATACATACATACATACATACATACATACATACAACATACATACATACATACATACATACATACATACATACATACATACATACATACATACATACATACATACATACTACATACATACATACATACATACATACATACATACATACATACATACATACATACATACATACATACATACATACATACATACATACATACATACATACATACATACATACATACATACATACATACATACATACATACATACATACATACATACATACATACATACACATACATACATACATACATACATACATACATACATACATACATACATACATACATACATACATACATACATACATACATACATACATACATACATACATACATACATACATACATACATACATACATACATACATACATACATACATACATACATACATACATACATACATACATACATACATACATACATACATACATACATACATACATACATACATACATACATACATACATACATACATACATACATACATACATACATACATACATACATACATACATACATACATACATACATACATACATACATACATACATACATACATACATACATACATACATACATACATACATACATACATACATACATACATACATACATACACTACATACATACATACATACATACATACATACATACATACATACATACATACATACATACATACATACATACATACATACATACATACATACATACATACATACATACATACATACATACATACATACATACATACATACATACATACATACATACATACATACATACACATACATACATACATACATACATACATACATACATACATACATACATACATACATACATACATACATACATACATACATACATACATACATACATACATACATACTATTTAGTATTAAATTGCTAATCATCTTTATTTACTGTTCTTTTTTTCTTCTTATAGGATGAAAAAAGCCAAATTTTGGAAGTGAGCTCTTGGATTAGACATGTAAAGTTTAATATTGACTTAATTTTGCTTTAATATCTTTCTTTTTATATGCAGTGGTTTTACTTCTAGTTTTTATTTATTGGTGAACGTAAGATCTTTTGTGTTCAAGGAGTACAAATAGAAATGGTTCAAAAATTTAAGCCTTGATATATCCACATCATCTTCATTTAAGGAAAATGATTAAAGTTTTAATAGATAAGATCTCCCTGAAATAGAGCTTTTTTATTTTGAAAACTAAATATAGTATGAGCAAGATCAGATACATTTTTCTTATTTCCAAAAAGTAACAAGTTCGGATTTTGTAAATGTTGCACTACATCAGTTAAAAATAAAAGATCTTGCAAAAGATTCATATTGTCAAGGGTTTCAAATGTCTTTTGCTTATCAATTAAAAAAGATGTAATTGGTCGTAATAGTTAAAAAACCCTCAAAATTTGAAAGCCACTTCGCAACACAGTAAAACAACAAGATACCTGTTTTGTTAACTAAATTCAATTTAATAATGAAATTTTCAAACTATTTGGGATTTTTTGCATTTGATTGAACATAATTTACAATTTTAAGCACTGATTTTAATCAGAAAATTAAAATATTTTGCTGCTAAATGCACTTGATAAATCACACAATGGGATAAACTCCTGATACCTAGAACTACTTTTTCATAAACCAAAAAGCTCTATATGCTTTTCAACCATTTCTGCTGCGCCATCTGCAGCAACACTAACTCGCTAATTTTTAAGGGCATTGGTTTTCACCCGATGGCGTCCTATAAATCAATTCCAAGAGTTGTGTTTTTCAGCTCTACCAAATATAGTAATTCTTCTTTTACAACAACATCTTATGTTACATGTCTATTAAATACTGTCATTTGATTTTTATCTTGAATGATTGATCTGTTGATTCATCAAATGCTAAACTAAACGCTATACAATTTTTTATATCATTTAACAACTGCTTTCAACTTCGACGCTAATTTCGGATATTCCTTTTTTAGTTGTATGTCAAGAATAATAAATATTTGAAATTAACTTTTGAATTTCGATATTGATGAATATTTTGATATAAAACTGAGATGACATCTACGTGCATACTATATGTTGCTATACGGAAGTTTACTTTACAATATTCCAAGCTATAATTAAACTTCTTCTGTTGTAATGTTTTAGTCTTTGCTGGAAGAATAATATCTAATTGATTTATAGTATTGTTTCAAGCAGTTTAATTTAATTTTTTTCTATAAAATTAATACAATGAATATTTTTTAGAATAATATATATGTTTTGTTTCATATTGGCATTCAACATTACATGTTTTATAATGATATATTGATGTAAGTTCTGTATTGCAAATTAAACACACTAGTTTATGAAAAATGCGCATTTACGTTTTTGATATATGCGCATTTTTCAGTCCAATTATCTTGAAACAATCTGTTCTTGTCTTTAACTTTTCTTTTCTTACTTTTATTGTGAAGTGCATTGTTGTCACCTTCTGTTCTATCTTTTTTTGAAACAATATGTCTTCCGGTAATGTATAGTTTTAGTTATTATTGTAAATTATGATATGTATATAGCTATATTATTATTATGTATATAATTTGTACTGATCATTACTAGTTTATACTGAATAGCTCATAATGCTTTCAAAAAGGGAACGCATATAGCTCGCGAGCCGCAATGACTTTCTAAGAGCCAAATGCGACTCGCGACTCGCGACCCGCTATTTGGCCATACCTGATTAAAGTAGCAAGTGTAGAATAAAATAACTTTTATTTTATAAATGTGCAAAATAAATTTAGGAGTATATTTTACATTTCCGGACAATGATATGGTGTGGCAGGTTGTGGAACATTTTAAATTTTAAGATAGTAAGGTATACACTGTGTAAGTTCCTTACTTTCGGCTAACGGAACAATAACTAAATATCTAAATAAATAAAAAAAAATTCCTATAAAGTATTACAAACCGTTAACTTTTAAACTATATTTGAATTAAACGTATAAACAGAGCCGTAACTATGCTACCCCACATCCCAAGGAGGTCCAGCAAATTTAGGGGGCCCATTTTTTAGAAATTTTTATTTTAAGTAATTCCTAGTAGAACAATTTTCAAAATTTTGGGACCTCAACGACTGGTTTCAAGGGGTTCTCCAAGCCAGTAGCTATGTCACAACGTATAATTATTTAATTTAATTATTAATCATAAAACAAACTAAAAAAAAAGTCAACTAAGATGACTTTCTTTAAGGTCCTTAAAGTAACATTAAAAAAATAGTTCCAAAAAGTTAATATAATATTGAGCAGCCGTGACGCAGTGGAAACGTACTTGCCTCAGAAACAAAGGATCCGTGGTTCAAAGAGCACCTCTGGGCAAGTTTGTGAATCATTGGTTGGGAAGGAGGCGTAAACTTCTAATTAAATGCTTATTCACGGTGCTCTGTGATAAGACCGTAAGGACTTCTTGGGGCACCTAATTAAAAAAATAAATAAAAATAAAATTTTTTGTTTTTGAATATATTTCCCTTTTTTATTATTATTAAGTAATATTGTTAAACAACTTTGAATGGTTTTTTTAAAGTTTTATTTATCTTATTTCAAAAACCTCTTCGAATATATTTTTAGTATTGGAATGATCCATATTTAACTTGGAATTCTAGTGAATGGGAAGGTATAACCAACATTGCAGTTACACCTGATAAGATTTGGAAGCCAGATATAACGCTTTATAATAAGTGAGTACGCATTTTTTTATCAATGCAAATCGTTGCTTTTAAAATCTTTAATAAATTTTGTTTTATCAGTTCAAACTGTGCATAATTTATAAGTTGCATAATTTATGAGCATTTATTATTTATTTTTCTTATCAATACTAAATTTTCATCTCTGGCAATATTGGTTGATATCAAATCTTCAATGTTTTATAGCATCATTGGCGTTATGCTTAATATATAATATCTGTTAGACCAACATAAGGTTTTACTTTTTGTTTGTCGCAAAATTATCACTTTTACACTATAAGTTAACATAAGGCTAGTTCTTAAATAGTATAAGAAATAAAAGAAATATTTCATCTGTGAAAGAAAGTTCCGTGAAAAAACATTTTGCTGTTTAACTATCTGATTTACTATGATTACTGTCATAAAAAAATGTTATTTAAATTAAAGTTTATTTTTTGGGGAAGTTAAATACATATTTGATAAACAACATACGTACTCATGTACCAGATCATGAATACTTAGTGTTACCAGTATTTATGGAACAAGTTTCTTGTATGCTTAATACGCGCTTACAAGTTTTTTACGCGTACAAAGACATTACATTACATTAAAAATTGTGAACTCCTTGAACTTAAACAAAGTTTAATTTAGTTTAGTTTAATTTTTATGTGTTTTAAACCAAAACTAAGAATAGATAAAAATGTTATTAATAAAAAAATTAGCAATTTTATTACTAAGTGAGTATTAAAGACAAAACATCAACGGTAGCGGTTTTTAATCTTTATATATTGCATAACTAATTTTACATGTTACAAGATCAATTCTTATCAAGAGATGATTGACCATTACCGCTAAATTAGTACTTTTGCTAACTGTACTGGTTCATTTGAATACGTTTCTAATTTTTTGGAGAAGAAAACTTTGCAAAGTTTTTCAATTATTTTTTTTAATGTTTCAAATAAGCTTCAAAAACCAAATGAATAATTAAGTTAATTAGACATCGTACTATATTTACTACTGAAGTATAAGATATTAACATTTTTAAGCTTCTTTATAACATATTCTATTCTCTCTCTCTTTCTCTTTCTCTCTCTCTCTTTCTCTCTCTCTCTCTCTTTCTCTCTCTCTCTCTTTCTCTCTCTCTCTCTCTCTCTCTCTCTCTCTCTCTGTGTTGAATAGATCATTTTTATTTTTCACTAATGTTTTTTTTTCATAAGAGCCTCAAGTATGTTTTTAATTTTCATCTTTTAATCAAATAAAATTAACTAAGTAAAACAGCATTACTTTTTCATGGACTAGTTATATTTGTAGATCTATATCTTTTAAGCCTAATAATATTGGATTGTTAAACTTGCAAAACATATAGTAATGAAAAAATTATCTAAAATCAAAGATAAATACGTTATTTTGGAAATTAACTGATCCTGAAAAATAGGATCAAATTTTATCCTGAATTTTTTTTACCTAAAAGTTGATATTTTTTGAAAAAGACCACAATGGCGAAAACGACCACAATGGTGAAAATGACCACAATGGCGAAAACGAGTGATCTAAGCCCCAGAAAAAAAGAGACAAATTCAAAATTTATTGAGATTTACAGAAATGAGTGAGAAGGAAGTAGCACAAAAGTTAAATTAACCCAAAATGTGTGCAAAATAAAAAAAGCATTTTATAAAGGAAAGGACCTTGAAGCTAGGTAGATTAAAAATTGTGGTCGTAAAAAAAAATTAACTTCACGGACAGGCAGGAAATTAAGATTCATGTAAAAAAATTCGTGCTATTTTTAAAAAGAAACGAGTGAAGACTAGTTGAATGACTGTTAATCAAAAATTGCAGGAAGCTACAGCTTTTTGACAGGTTTTTTGCTTATCGACAAAAAAAATCCGGAGCTTACTGAGCCAATGAATCAAGGATACATTTAATGGGCCCTGATGCATATAACTGGAAAGATGAGAACTGGTTAAAAATCAGTTTTTCAGATGAATCTACTAACCAAGTATTAGATAACATAGTTTAGACTGTTAATAGAAGATCAGGAGAAGAGTTCACTGAAGTTTGCCTCCATCAAACAGTAAAATTCCCACAAAGATTATGGTGTAGGATACTATATTCTCACAAGGTAAAAGCCGCCAACAAATTGTACAAAAGACAATGAATCCAGAAAAGTACATAAAATTGCTTAGAATTTGAAGCCTCAAATAAGCAAATGTTAACAGAATAGTACCTGTATTTTTTAGCAGAACTCAGCGCCATGCTATATTGCTATACACATGCACGCAAGATATACGATTGGATGAAAAAAAATAACATCGAGATACTCTAGTGGCCACGGAATTTTCATGACATGAGTCCTATAGAGCCATTTAGGGATCAAATTAAAGATAAAATTTATAAAGTGGCAATAATCAACAAATTGCTCATTTAAAGTATGATTCATATATGATTTCATGAGGATGAAATCATGGATATTTTTGGCAAGTTGCTTATAGGTATGCCTGACCAAATACAGACACTAAATGTGGCCAAAGGTGGCTACACAAAATATTAAAAAGACATTCCTTCAACATTAGTGTGTTTATGAGTACAATATAACAGATAAAATATCATATAAGGAAATAGGAAGGAAGGAGAGTGTGTTCCACACTCTCCTTCCTTTTTATCCGCTCTCCTTCCTTCCTATCCCCTCTCCTCCCCCCCCTAGCCCTCCCTTGTTTCAAAGAAGGTAATTTTCAAGTTATAGTCGATTTTTTGACGAATATAGTCGGCTAGTCAGATACTTAACATAATTCAGTCGGGTGAATTTTAGTTTCGGAAACCTTTTTTTTCTAAGAAGCAGCCGGTACTTTTTAAGGAGGAGGGGGTGTCATCCTTCCTCCTCATTTTATTTGTTGAATTACCAGTGATTGTAGATCTACAAACATAAAAAGGTTAACAGAAAAAAAGGATAAAATGCACATTTTATCCTTTTTTCATGCTATTTTTAAGTGATATTTGAGTTCTATTTAAAAAAGTTGATCTCATTTAAATAATACAGTTTATTTTGAACCTAATTCTCTTTGGTACAGATACAGAATTTTTTAAAGGTAATTTTGACCTTAGGTTTAAATAAGAAATACTCAATGCTTTTTAAGAATTGATTTTTTTATCAGGTTACTTTCATTTGACACCCGTACAAACATAATAAATTTGTAATTTTAAATTTTTTATTAATAAAAACTTTGACTATAAAGTTCTCTGGAAATTGATGCTAATAAAATTTTAACAAACTTTTTGGGTCTTAACAGTTACAATTAGAATCAAAGTATGATAAGTATGGTCATAAAAATATCAAAGTATGATAAACATGCTCATTTATTTGGTCATAAAAATATCAAAGTATGATAAACATGCTCATTTATTTGCTCATAAAAATTTAATTTAAGATCATAAAAGTTATAGTAAATTTTAAGACTTGAATTAGGGCAGTTATTTTTGTGTGTCACTGTTGTGTTTTCGTGTGCTCATTTTGTGGTTTAGTTATCAAAAAGTCAACCACAAAGAAAAAAAAAACAAAGTTAGTTTTTTTTTTTTTGCTTTGTTGTTGACTTTTTGATAAAAAAATTTTTTTGCGTTTGACTTTCTGATAGTTTTAAACTAGTTTCAGATAAAATATTTATTTTTTTTAAGTATTATAAAATAGTTTTTTTAATAATAGGGGGGAGACTAGGGCTAGTTGCCTCTGCTTTTACTTTTAGATCTCGATAACCCATAAGGCTTTTTTTTGTAAATATCAAATTGTAACCTTGAAGCATATGAATTTGGGTAAAATATTCAAGTCGAATTCATTATAAAAAAAAACTTGATGGGCACTAGCTGGGGCCGTAAAAAATATTTTGTTTGGAGTTAACTAACCTTGAGGCTGGGTAAGTTACTTAAACTCAAAGGTTAAATTGACTTACTATATTTAAAATGAATGCTTAAAGTTTTAAGTAAGTGTAATTTAACAACTTTTAATACTTTTTTCTTTTTGTTAAGTAATTTCAGCTGAAATATTTTTTGTCTTTATCATTACTATTAAGAACTTTTTAGTGAATGTTGGTTTGGTGAGCCAAATGAGCTTATATCATATTTTGTGAACATATATTTTTGAATCCCATCGCACCATTGTAACTTTTAAACCAAAAATCTAAATATAGTAATTAAAAGTAAAACCAAAAAGTTGTTTCAAGCTATCTTTAAAATTGTTATACAATATGAAAAGTTACAACTCCATTAACAACAAAAACTTCTTACAATCATCACAAATAAAAAAAAAGACTTTCCAGTTATACAGTCATAAGCCCAAATTTCAACACAAATCAAACAAACAAAAATTCCTCTGTAACAGAACTGTTTCTACAATTCAGATTTTTTTCCATTAAAACTTCTTTTGCCAGTTGCACTTTTACTCATCTTCATATTTTCTTTTTTTAATATATTTTTCTCTTTTTTTTTTTATCATTTATTTTTTTTTATTCACTTTTACTCATTTTTGTATTTTCTTTATTTAACATTTTTTTCTCCATTTCTAACGTTTTATTTTTAGCAGATTTTTAAACGCATTCAAATTTGGTGAACTTGTCAGTATTAATATGGTTCTATTTCTTTTATTTAAAACCTCTTTTCTTAGTTCAGCTTTTTTGAATGGTCTCAAATCTTCAGGCAATAGAACTTCAATTAACTCTGTAGATGCACTATATTCATCATTTTCTGAGTTTATATCATCACGTAACTCTATATATTTTGAACAACCAGTTTTTAGCATATCATTTTCTGATATTGTAAAGTCAACATCTGATACATTATTTGCATTTAGCATTACACTATCTATAGCAGAACATGGTTTCACAAAATGATGAGAAAACTGCAAAATTTGAATACAGTCATCCAACCAGACGGGTTTACAGCTCCTGCAATTCCACAAAGACCACTGTTAAAAAAATATGTTTTAAATTTCACACTAGGAAAAATAAAAAAAGGGGTAATTGAATTTCGATATATATATATATATATATATATATATATATATATATATATATATATATATATATATATATATATATATATATATATATATATATATATATATATATATATATATATATATATATATATGTATATATATATATATATATATATATATATATATCAAAATTCAATTACCCCTTTTTTTATTTTTCCTAGTGTAAAATTTAAAACATATATATGCACACAATATATACATATATTGTATGTTGTTGTTCCTTTTTGCAATATCGGGACAAACATCTTTGAGGAAAATAGAAGATTTTGGAGAAATATAGCTGCCTTTCGTATAAAGTTTCCTTCTAATAAAACAACATTAATAGCATTTTTGAATAACATTTTTATTGAAAATAAAAATGTTATTCAAAATCACAAATAGCTTTTAGATCTGCTCAGTTCTATTATTTTAAATCAAAAAGCTTAAAATTAAAAATTAAATTTATGTCCAATTGGAACCAAAATATATGGCGAACTTGCTCCGCATATATTTTGCCAACTAACCCTAACAGATTTTTGGTCACAAAATGTCCTACAGATCCCTGAAAAAAAAAAAAAAAAAATGTAATTAGAAAAGTTTAAGTGAACCATTCAAGACATAAATTAATTCAAGTTTACGTGTACTTGATGTTATTACTTTTAAAAATTAAAAATATCATAAAGTTGTAAAAATTACAAAAATATGGAAAAATAACATAAATCATAAAAACTCGTATGCGCATGTGCGAACCCCAAGAATACTACATTTACAAATGAAATAGTTAGCTAGGAAGATTCTTTATGATTTCTGGCACTTTCTGATAGAAGACTTTGAAGATTCAAAGCCTTCTTTGAAGATTCTTTGAATCTTTAAAGATTCAAAGATGTAGTTTGTCAATTTACCCCTAACTAGCCCTGGTCACTCCAATTAATTAAAAAAATACATTTTAAGCATATTGTTACAAGCTTGATATCGTTTGTCAATTATTAATACTTTTTAAAAAATAATTATAATACGTAATAATATTTTATAATAACGACATATCTTTTGCTTTGAGAATAATATAAATAAAATTTTTTATTAAAAATAGCGCTGAAAGAGAATTCCAAGGACTGGACCAGTTTGGAAAAACTAAAGTTACTGTTTATAGTGATGGTAGAGTTGTATGGTTAATACCGAAAATTTTACGGTAAATTTTTTTTTTTTTTCAATTTTTTTCATTGAAATAAATTATAATATGTTTATAGTCATGTTAAATTATTTTAAATTAAACATACTGTATTATATATAAGTTTTTTCTACAATAAAAAAAAAACAATAATGTATATTATTTCGCATAAATTTTAAAGGCATTATAAGGTATCACATTAAAACGTTTAGAAGCGCTTGCAAGCTCGAAATGACTTATTTCCCATTTGATAATCAAGTATGCTCGTTGACTTTTGGCTCTTGGGCTTATGATCAAACAAATGTTGATCTTTTTCCGCGTCGTCCAAAAGGAGATTTGTCATATCTCTCAAAAAACGGAGAGTTTATAATCGACGGTATGCTTTTTTTTTAACTTCAAGCTGAAAATTTTGTTTACCCAAGACAAAAACTATTCTATTTTTGAAACATATGACCTATAGATATTGTGGATATATATAGATAGATAGATAGTATAGATAGATGTGGCGCATTGCACAGCGGGACAGAGGTGAGCAAAACACCTCAAAAACCAACTTCTATATTGGAGTAAATTCTTTTTATAAATGTAATCTAGAGACCCCCTGCACTTTAAAACTGATTTTTGAGCTCAGTATATAAATTTTACCACAAAAATTGCACTATTTTGCGTTTCAAATAATGGTCAAAATGAAATAATTACATGAAAAAGAAATATAAAGTCATTAAAAAAATTTAACAACACTTTAATTTTTTAACGGTATATATTAGTCCACAGACATCATATATTTAAATAAGAGGAAGAAATTTTAAAAACATGAAGCCTCACAAGGCCGTTCATATGATCAACTTTAAAATACGCTCTCTTACATAATTTAAAATTTAAAACCAAATTTTCTGAGCTCAGCTGAGCGCAGAAGGTATTAGGCTTTATATCATAAATGATATCCAATCATACATTTTGCTTGAAACAACTAAAGAAGATGCATAAAGAATGGTTTTAGATTTTTAATCGTTAAAACCTTGTTATTTTAAAAAGCACTTTTGGAAAGTTATGGACGGCTATGTGATAGTTTAATAGTTTTTTAATGAGCAATTTGTTATGTTTAAGATGTTTTTTAATGTACATTTTTGTCGGTTATTGCATTGTATTAATTTTATGTGAACATGTGAAAAAGATGATTTATGGAAGAGAAAAAGTATTATTTGTATTATTATGTGCAAGGAATTTTTTTTTTTTTTTTAAAAAAAAGTTTAATATAGTAAAGAGAAATTAGTTTGTTTAGTAGAAAAAAGAATTTTGAATTTCTCGTTTCGTTGAAAGCGAGAAAACTACATCATCAGGTTGGTTGGAATCTTTAATTTGAAAACAGTTTATTAATTGTGAAAAATAATCATTTCATACACTCTAATATTAATGTTTTACACTTAATAAACATAAGCAACAAAACTAAACAATGAAACTCTTCAAGAACCAAATAAACTATGATCTTATAATGAAAATACTTTGCAGCTACGATACTAAGCTATCCAGAATTAGGAGGAGTCAGGGAAGAAGCCAAAGACTCTAATCAACCTGAGGAGATCAAGAAGCTTTTGATGCACTAATGTATGATGTATGCCATAACCCCAATGCTTATTTATAAAAAAAAAATAATGTTAATAAAGTTCAATTTTATTGAACGTTATATGTTTACATTCATAATATCAAAGAAATTAAGTACACAAAATAAGTAATGATAAAGAAAATATCTTCTTGAAAACCCATAACCACACCTAAAATGACTATCTGTATATATATAAATATATATATTTAAATATATATAAAATTTCAAAAATAATAATTTTTTCATATAAAAATTATTATTTTAGATTTTGTTGCATATAACTATAGTTTTTTAACTATTAGTGAAAAAGGTGCATTTGTACATGTTTTTTAATAACAATTTTTTTCAGCAATATGATTTTTATAAAACGATTATTATTTTCGAATTTGTAATAAAATTTCGCTTCTTTTGAGTACCAGGTTGATTTACTTTTGAAAAACTTTTTTTCTTCAAAATATTAGGGTACCGGTAATTTTCCCAATAAAGTTGCGCCCTTTAAATCTATCACAATCATTCTCATAATTAATAGTATCAATATTAGTAACTATTAGCATTGTTTAAACCCTGTAACAAGAAAAAAAATTTTTTTGACCCACCCTAATATATACATACATATATATATATATATATATACAAGGCCGGCGCGATAGGGGGGTGTGTAACACCCCCTTCCCCCATCAATGACTTTTAGTCAGCAAATTTGACCCTCAGTCGGCAAATGTGACCCTTTTTGACTAGTTAGTCGGCAAATGTAGACCCTGTCGATAGGTTGGTCGGTAAAGTCAGTCGGCAAACGTCGTTATGGCAGTCGGTAAATTTTAAAAAACGAGGACCTTTTTTTTTTTTTTTTTAAAGACGGCAAAAGTTGTAATGGCACCCCCCATCCCCACGTGACCCCCTACTCGCGCCACGTGACCCCCGACTCGCCACGTGACCTCTACTCGCGCCGGCCCTGTTTATACATATATTTATATATATATATATATTATATATATATATATATATATATATATATATATATATATATATATTAAGTTTAATCATATCGTTTTAGGTTTTGAAGTTAGACGGACCTCAGAGATGTTTAATTGTTGTCCAAACCCATATGTAACTTTAAGTTATTACATCTCGCTTCACCGAAGAGCCAAGTTTTACTTGTTTAATCTAATTATTCCTGGTGCTTTAATAGCTATTTTGTCGTGTTTCTCATTCTTTCTTCCTCCTCTTACCGGGGAGAGAGCTGGATTGGTTATTACAAACTTTCTTTCTTTGTCCGTCTACGTTTTGATTGTCTCAGATTCTGTTCCACCAAGTTCTGATACAGTGCCATTGTTGGTTAAGTAAGTATAATTGATTTTAGTTAAGTATGTTTTTAAATAAATAATTAATTAAGAAAATAATAAAATAATTAATAATAATAAAAAAATGATTATATTTTGTTTTTATTCTTCGTTGTTATTTTTATTATTTTTTTAAGTTGTCAATTTTTAGTTTTGATAATTTTACTAGTTAGTTCTTTCGCTTATTATTTATACAGCATCCAGTTCAAGTTAAAATTATTTGTTTGTGAAGTAAAGTCTGTTAACGTTTTGTATCTGCATTTAGCCCGATTTTAAATGGTGTCGCCAAAAAAATACCTGTTTACTGTTGATATACATGTAAACAATAATACATTAATAACTAAAAGAAATAGTAGTTTAAAAACGACGATTGAAATCAATGGTAATTAATTTCAATCTAACAATTTATACGTTGCTAAATTTTTCTAGCTAAATTAAATATTATTCAAGTTACAAATCATAAATTTTTTACAAGTTACAAATCATACAGTTTTTATCAATTTGAGTTTTTAAGAAATCCAAGCTTTCACTTTTAATGAAGCATTCAGTTTTTATTTCACATTGGTGCAACTGTTCTAATTTTGAAATAATTTCTATTTATTTCTATATCTGATATATTCAATTGTTGCAACTAATTATTATATTAACTGTGTGTAGTCTTCTCGTGTCGTTATTTCAACCTCTATTAAGTTTAGCACTACGTCTTTTGGAGGAGAATTTTTCGCGCGGAATTAGTCTCTTAGCAATAATTTTCCATGTAATTCTATTTACTTATTCCGCAAACGCTAATTATTATTCTGAACGGTTTTTAGAAATTGTTGTTTGCGTAACAACCATTTTAATTACAATTATATAAGTAAATAATATATACATTATAATGTGAAATTATAATTATATAAACATATAGTTACATATTATAAAAACAAATAAATATTAAATTCAAAACTATATCAATAGGAATACGTATTCTTATTCGAGAAGTCATTTTTAAAAAACTTAAAACTAAAAAACTTTAAAGATAAACAACGATTTCTGCTAAAGCATTACCTAAAATTTTGGAAGAAAATAATGCTTAAATTAAAAAAAAATGTTAATTTTTATTAAATTTGGTACAGCAAAAGAATTAGAGGTTTTTGGATAAAGTCTTTTTTTTTCTCGGAATGAAGCGAGATTAGATTTTTTTTTATTTATCGTTATAACGAGATAGAAACGGTAAATTAAAAAGTAAGCGAATGTCTTCCGAAACGATAAACAATACATACTTTTATTACAAATAGTTTTAACAATATATACTTTTTTTACAAATACAGTCAAAATGCTTTGAAAATAACTGAAATAATACTAAGATATATTTGATGTACAAAGTAATAAATAATGTAAAATAGTTTTTCAGTTTATATTTTGAAAAGACTAAAAAAGTCTTAAAAAAAGGAAAAATTAAACCTTTAGTTATGTAGTCAAGGGAAACTCGCAGAAAACTGTGTAAAGTCTTGTCATCGAGAACCCTTTTTTTAAACAATTTCATGAGATACTCATAAATATTTTATTCATTACTTATTACATTTTTTAATATAATTAGTCGTTAGGAAGGAGCATAACATAAATATAACATATATACATATATATATATACACATACATACACACACATACACACACATATATATACATATACACATATACATATACACATACATACATATATATATATATATATATACATATATATACACACATACACATACACACATACGCATACACACACACACACACACACATATATATATATATATATATATATATATATATATATATATATATATATATATATATATATATATACACATACATACATACACATATACATAAATACACACATACACATATATATATGTATATATACACATACATACATATACACACATACATATATATATACATACATACATACACACATACATACATACATACATACATACATATATATATATATATATATATATATATATATATATATATATATATATATATATATATATATATATATATATATATATATATATATATATATATACACACACATACACATACACATACAAGTATATATGTATATTCATACTTTTTTTTTTTTATTATTTTTTTTTTTTTTTTTTTTTTTTTATGTACATGATTTTGATATTTTAATTAGTCATAAGTTATTAGAAAATTTCCATATAACTGCTTGTATTTAAGACAAGTTTTTTAAGATAAGATTTTAAGAAATTTATATTTTTCAGGAGAGATATTGAGGAATTTTTTGGTATTAATTTGTTATACATATAAGGACCACGATATGCTATTGAGAATTTCTTTTTTTAAGGGGTACTATATAGTTTCCAGTTGCTCTAGTGCTAAATTTGTTTATATTAGTTTTAAAAAAGTTATTCATAAATTGACTTGGAATAATTCCCATTTTATGTTTGAACATAAACAAAATATTTTGATATATATTAATTTGGTAAATGTTTAAAGCATTCATCTGTTTTAGTAATGGGTTTGCGTGAGTAAGTTTGTTTTTATAAAAAATAATTCTTGAGGCGAGTTTCTGTCGTCTATAGAGTGAACTTAATTTAGTTTTATGGGTACTTGCCCATGCTATATTGGCATATGATAGATAGCTGTGTATAAAGGAAAAATAAAGAAGTTTTAAATTTTCGAACGATAAATAATTTCTTGCTTTATAGAGTAGACCAATGTTTTTTGAGACTATTGTATAAATGGTATTTATGTGAAAGTTCCAAGATAATTTCTCGTCAAGAAGCACACCAAGAAATTTAGATGATTGAGTTCGTTCAATAATTGTGTTGTCTATACTAAGAGTTGGTAAAATTGATGGGATAGCCTTTTTTATTGGTTGTGGTGAAATAAGATGTATTTAGTTTTGTTTAAGTTTAATGACAATTTGTTAGCTCTGAACCATGTGTTAAGTTTAATAAGCTCTAAGTTTGCGGTTATAAAGAGGTCACTGATTGAGCTAGAAGAATAAAACAGATTAGTGTCGTCTGCAAAAATTATGCAATCTAACTTAGATGAGACTTTAGGGTGGTCGTTTACATAAATTAAAAGTAGAAGAGGAGCTAGAATAGATCCTTGAGGAACCCCACATTTGATTTTTAGTTGTTTCGAGTTGTTATAGTGATCTATGGTAACACATTGTTGTCTGTTGTCTAGGTAGTTGGCGAACCATTTTATAGTTTGATTTTTTATGCCATATTTTTCCATTTTTTTTTAGTAGTATTGTGTGGTCTACTGTGTCAAACGCCTTTGTAAGATCAACAAAGACTCCTAATACAAATTTCCTATCATTAAAGGAAGTTGTAATGTTATTAATGAGATCTAGGATATCATGTTCTGTAGAATGTTGTGTTTGAAACCCGTATTGATTTTCACTTAAGACTTTGTGTTCTATTAAATATTTATACAGTCTGTTGTAAATTATTCTTTCAAGGAGTTTAGAAAATATAGAAAGAATTGAGATTGGTCTATAATTGCTAATTGCAGATGTATCTCCACCTTTAAATATAGGTACAATTTTTGCTATTTTTAATTTGTCTGAGACAGTTCCGTTTTTGATTGAAGAGCTGAAGATATTTAAAATAGGCTTTCTTATTACAGAAAAAATATAAAGCACAACATTGCCAGAGATGTCATCAATACCTGGGGCCTTATTCTTTTTAATTGATTTGATTGCTGTTTCTAGTTCATCAAAAGTTAAATTACTATCTGGCAATGAGCTTTCAAAATCGCTAAAATAATTTTGAAACGATGTTTCTGAGCCTTTGATTTTTGATGCCAGGTTTAGACCAGTGTTTACAAAAAAATGATTAAATATTTCTGATATTTCTTTTTTGTTTTTGTATTCAATATCGTTTTCCGTTATTCTGGAGGCTAAAATGTGAGATACTATTTTTTTTTTACCAATGATTTCTTTCATAACTTCCCACATTTTCTTTATATTTCCATTATTATTTTTTAATTGTTGAGAATAATATCTTTTTTTAGATTTATTTTTTATTTTTTTCAAATAGATTTTTATATTTTTTATAGGCATTAAGATTAGCTTCGTTTCTTAATAAATTAAAATAATAAATTGCTTCGTTTCATCAACCTCGCTCAAACTTACCGTTTAATTCCGAAATGCAACAGCTTAATATTTATATAACCATAATAAGAGCTTAATAATTATTTTAACCATAATAATTTTTTAACCATAATAAGAGAACCCAAATAGCCTTATAAAGACTGTCCGGAAAAATATTGACCGATGGGATTAGGGATCGTCTATAAATTACGCAACCCAAAAAATATTTTAGAAACAGGAGTAGGAGATATTAGGCTCTTTTACGCGGCAATTTTCATTTAACTTAATTTCCTATTTTGATTGTTTATTTAAATTAAGACTCTGCGAGGGAAATCTTTTGATCTTTTTTTGTTTTGTTTTTTGTGAAATTTTGCGTTACGTAATTTATGGACGATCCCTTATTGAAATATTTTAAAAATTGATAATTGATCGACAAATATGAAAATTGTTGTCTAAAAGCTTATGAAATGCCTAAAGAAAGTATTGTAATCTTTTATATATATATATATATATATATATATATATATATATATATATATATATATATATATATATATATATATATATATATATATATATATATATATATATATATATATATATATATATATATGTATATACCCAGTAGACACGGACGTAAAAAAGACGTCTTTTAAACGTCTTATACACATTTTGGACGTCTATTGAACGTCTTTTGAACGTTTTAGACGTTTTTTGAACGTTCAAAAAACGTCTTTTTTAGGTCCGGTGCCCACTGGGATATATATATATATATATATATATATATATATATATATATATATATATATATATATATATATATATATATATATATATATATATATGTATATACCCAGTAGACACGGACGTAAAAAAGACGTCTTTTAAACGTCTTATACACATTTTGGACGTCTATTGAACGTCTTTTGAACGTTTTAGACGTTTTTTGAACGTTCAAAAAACGTCTTTTTTAGGTCCGGTGCCCACTGGGATATATATATATATATATATATATATATATATATATATATATATATATATATATATATATATATATATATATATATTTCGTTAATATAAAAAAATAATAATAAAATTACAATGAAACTTTTATGTTAGACAAAGAATATATATAACAGACAGGGGCTCAAAAAAGATATGGATGACTGGTGTCACCACAATCAAGGCCCGCGCGAAGGCAGGGTGGGGGGATGTAACACCACCCACCCCACCCCACCCCTATCAATGATTTTTAGTCGGCAAATTTGACCCTTAGTCGACAAATTTGACCCTCAGTCGGCAAGTTTGACCCTTTTTGACGAGTAATTTGGCAAATGTCGACCCTTTCGATATAGGGTAGTCGGTAGTTTAAACAGTTAGTCGGCAATTGTCGTCATGGCAGTCGGCAAATTTTCGAAAACGAGGACCTTTTTTTTTTTTTTTAATACAACGTACGTACAACGATATTTGTATGTACGTTGTATTAAAAACTTCACGTTGTATTTTTAATACAAGAAATACAACGTGAAGAATATTCGTTAAAAAAGTGCTTTTCAAATTTTTTATAATTTGATATTTTTAAATTGATTTCATAATGATGGACCTTAGCTAATGATTGAGAATTTTGACACGTGATTTTATTCTGTTCGAGTGATAGTTATGTTTGTTATTTGGCCGAAGATTTTTTTTTGTAAAAAAGCCGATGAAAAAATATCGGAAAATACTTTTGGCAGCAAGTTATTCTTATATTTATACACAAATATTATTATTTAAAGCAAATTAAGTTTTGATATATTTTGGACATTCGTGTGTTTCATTACTGGGAAAGGGTTTTCTAATCTTTTTAAATAGTTAACTGCTTTACATGCGTAGTTTAACATACATGTAGGCTTTAACATACATGTAGGTCTTTATTCTTATTAATTTAATTTTGTGTGCGTTAGCCCAAATAATATTAGCGTAGGAGAAATGATAATTAACAAGACTAAAGTAAAGCATTTTGCGTGATCTATTTTTTTTATTGTTGTTATTTAGGTGCCCCAAAAAGACCTAACGGTCTTGTCACAGAGCATCGCGGAAGTGCGTTTAATCAGGAAGTTCACGCCTTCTTCCTTACTGTGACGCGAAAATGTCCAAAGCTCGTTTTGAGCCTGGATCTCCTGCTTATAAAGCAAGCGCTCTAAACACTGTGGAACTCCGCAAACAATATCAAGACCTTCTAACAACAAACTGTTTTCTATTAAAAAGATAACTTTAAACCCACTTATATATTAGACCTTTAATGCAGTTATGCTTTAACTTTAAAGTAAAATTCTGTGATCAACAGTATCGAATGCCTTAGAGAGATCGATAAATACTTCTAGCACTTGTAAATCTTTTTGTTATAATTTCTAAAATTAAAGTTTGCTATAAATTAAGTAAAAAAAATTATTTAAATTGATTAAGATATGGAGTAAAACAGGGTAGAATGAAATAGTTATGACAAAGTTTATTCTTTCGCTCTTAATTAATTATTGAACAATTTTTTGCAAATATTGATTATATTGTAAAGAATATTTTTTTGAGTAAGATTGTATAAAATTTTATTTTTAATAAAAAAAATGTGTTATAATTTATAAGTTTTCGAATGCGTAATAAGATTTAATTTGTTTGAAAAGGCAACTCTCGAAAATTAAATTCGGTATCATTGAACTTGAAATATTTACTGGTAGGTACAACCTACAACTTTTTATGCTGATCAAGAATCTTTTTTCAAAATTAAATTTGCTATTTAGGAAAAAAAGTTATGAGTTAAAAACGGAAACGGAGTGTTGTGGGGTTGAATAAAAGGCGCTAATAAATAAATACGAAGCAATAGCTTATTTCTTAAAAGAGGGCTATTTTTATTAGGTCTCAAGTGACTAATAAATCTCTAACTATAAATTTTTTGTATAAATTTCAATGAACGAATTTTTCTAACTGAATTTAAATGACTTTTACTTACTGCTTTTATGAAATGGTTCTAATAAATGAATGAAGTGCGCTAGTTACTCTATTGTTAATTGCGGTCACCTTGCCTGCAAACAACCTTCAATATTGTAGTAATTCCGGCTATTCAAAAGGAAATTCAAAAGAGGTTGCAAAACAACTGCAATCAGTCCAATCACTTGCAGCAGCTTTGCAACAAATATTTCGTATCCAACACGTTGACACAAAAAAAAAAATGTAGATGTGCCAAGATTCGAAGGGAAGTGTCTCATCAAATCTGAAATACTTGAATGGTTGAAAGATGCTGAGAGCAAAAAAGCAGCAAAACAAGCTAAAAAACAACGTAAGCTTAGCTATAATTGAGAACAGCAAGTAAACCAAGCAACAAGTCCAACGAAAGTATTAGTTGCAAACCGATTCAAGTGTAAAAAGTGCCTAAAAGTTTTGGGCGAAACTTCAGAAAGTCAAAATATGGAATGATACCAATGTGAAAATTCATATTGCAAGGTTTGGCTATGTCAATCATGCATACCAAAGCGATACGTAAAAGGTGCTGAGTTTTATTGCATCAAAAAGTGCCGCACAACTGAAAACTCAACTCAATTTCTAGTACCTCTAAACGACTCAACATCGTCGCAAGAATAAAAAAGTTTATTTTATTTGATTGATTTTTTTAATTGTTATAATTGATTGCTTTTTTTTTTTTTTTAATAAAGTGTTGTTTTAATTACACTTATATTTGCGTATTTCATTCTCTCCAAATGTCAGTGTAGAACGGAATAAATTTGTTTTTAATCAAATAAAGTTTCATAAAAAACTTTACAAAAAAGTTGTTAGATTTTTATATATTTAAATACAGCAACATTTAAATACTCTCTACAACTTTTAAAAAAAAGGAAAAATCTTTTTTCAGTAAAAAATAATAATTAAAATCCTTAACTATTCCATTTGACCCCATTTTACTCAACTCAAAATATAGTTCCTTCTAATTCTAAGCAGTCATTAAAAAAAAAAATTAAATTTACTAATAACCAGGACCGTCCCGAAGAACCCCCTCGCGATGGCCCTTATAATAACATCATTTGTTGATGACTAAGTTTACATTTGCAACTGAAAACTAATGAAAACTTATTTCAAAACAACATCAAAAAGAAAAACTAAAATACAATATATTTTTGAAATTATTTTGTTTTGACCTATAACAAAACTATATACATTCAAGTAGACTATTCTTAATTTAGTTATTTTAAAGTTACCTCAAAATTAAGTCAGTTATAAGCCGGTAAAAAAATTAGAAAAACTTAACTCTCAATTTAAAAAAATATTTTTTTTGTTTAATTTCTGCAATATTCTTTAAATTAAAAAAATATATATCTTTTTAAATAAATTTTTTTTTAATTAAAATAATATATTTCAGTATTTTATTAAATTAAATATTTACCTTCGATAAATATATCATTTGTTCTAAACTTAATTTGTATTGTAAAAGTTTTCATTGTTGTGTTTTATGTGCTTAAATCATATAAAATTGTATACATTTTTTAAATTTACACTAAAAAGTACTTTACTTTAGATTTTATACGGTGTTAATGTGCGAAATTGGTCTTGCGCTAATGTCGAATTGCGTAATTATAATGGTAGCTGCAAAAACAGTTCCTGTTCCTAATATTGTAAGAGTAATCTTTTTCAACAACCACATCCATAACTGCGTTGAGTATATGAAAAACAGGTTTTTTTCTAAACTCAAAACTAAACAAAACTTCAATAGAACAATTTTTATTGATGTTAAAGACGATCCTGAAAATGATACCAAAAGAAAGGAACCAAAAAATACGTTTATTATGATAAAAGAGCGACTTTTTAATGCAAGAATGACCGTTTGTAATGATAAGGTTAGTAATACGGAAAAAAAACCTCTTCACCCAATAGTTGAGCGGACAACGTCGCAACAATCCAACTTACGACCTGAATATGAAATGCATTCCAACATTGGCAAAGAGGATCAAAATAGTTTAAACAATATAAACCATTTTTTTGCTACTAACACTATGGAGCAAAAGATTCGACAAGATTGGGAACACGTGGTCAGAAAAATTGATCAAATTTTTTTTGTTTTGTTCATGGTTTTGATTACTCTTAGCGTGATTATTATCTTCTCTGCTGCTCCAAACATTCATTTTTGAAGTTTCAAGTTATAGAAACTGAAAACCAACCGTCATCATATAAATATTTTAAAATCTCTTAATTGGAGTTTGCAAATGGTGTTAATTAAAAACAGATTTAAAAATTTCAAAGTTACTGATTAAAATTACTTTTATTTGTTTAGTCCCAAAGTTATTTAATTTAAAGAATTTATTTGTTTAGTACATAGTTATAAAAAGTTAATAAGGTATTTAATTATTTTTTGAATCGCTGAGTTACACAAAAAGATTTTTCATTCAACTCTTATTATCATTTCTTTGTATCTTCTTAAAAAAGTCACAGAAGACAACAAGGTACTAACTTTAAACTACGAGGTTAAAGCTTTAGGGTACTCACTTCTTTTATTTTAAAAGTAGTGAGTACCCTAAACAAGCTATTAAACAAATTTACAAATTTTACAGACCAGAAAAAAACTTAGCATCTCAAAAATATTCATATTTATTATCAGTAAGGGGTTGTCCATAAAATACGTACGCTTTTTTTTTTGTTCCCCCAAATCTCCCACCCCCCGCCTGCATTTCGCAATACGCATTTTTGAGTACCCTCAACTTCCCTAAAAGTAACTACGCTTTTATCTAACATTTTATGATATCTTTTTTAATTTAGTATCTCGTTTCTTTTATAATTGACCCACTGTCCTCTCATCTCATAAACGCTATTTGCAGACCCCCACTTCCCCTCCGAGCGTACGTACTTTATGGACGATCCCTAAAAAGAATATAGTTTTTTGTCTTTTTAAAAGCGGAAAACGAGATTGAAAAATTAAAATTAGGTAGAACAATTTTGTTCCATAGATAAGGCGCTTAATTGTTAATACAAAATTTATTGAACTTTGTTTATCAAAATGGTTTAATTAACATCTTATTATTTCGTAAAGTATATCTATATAGAGATTTTAGGGGAAAAGATCTTTAGAAAAAATGATTAGTTATTTTTACAACGAAAAATAAAGCATAATAATATATCATAAACATTGAGCTCGTAAAATGTTTTTTGCTTTATTTTTATTAAATAAATTTTTTTAATGTAAAAAAAGATTTTCAAAATATATTACATGTATTACGTATTTCTGACAATGGTAAAGTTATTGTGACATAGTTTTAGAGGTTGGGTAGAGTGGGTATCATGATTCACTTTTAGTTTTTGCTTCGTAACAATTTTTTTTATACTCTTTTTTTTAGACGATTGGTTTAACTTGTAGAAAAAATTTATATCTTAAAAACTAAATTCAATAAATACAATATTGTAACAGGTTAAACTTGTGAGACTTTTTAAAGTCAAATTAGAAATTTGACTTTAAAAAATCTCACCTTGATCATAATTTGTACCTTGATACAAATTATGATGCTCATAATTTGTATTAAGGTACCCAAGGTATTCATGGGGTACATTGATAAAAAATATCAAGGTACCTCATGGATACCTTGATAAAAGAAAAGGCAGATTTTTAATTAAAAAAGAAACAAATTAATAACCATAACCCAAACAATCTAAATTATATGTCAAAAATCCAAACAATTTAAAGTTTTAAATGTTATTTTTAAGCGTCAATAAAGAGTGGCTGTTTAAGTGTTAAGCTTTTTATTCATATTTGAAAAAAGGTCATAAATGTCACTGTTTGACAGAAAGGTCATAAATGTCACTGTTTGACAGAAAGGTCATAAATGTCACTGTTTGACAGAAAGGTCATAAATGTCACTGTTTGACAGAAAGGTCATAAATGTCACTGTTTCACAGAAAGGTCATAAATGTCACTGTTTGACAGAAAGGTCATAAATGTCACTGTTTGACAAAAAGGTCATAAATGTCATTGTTTGACAGAAAGGTCATAAATGTCACTGTTTGACAAAAAGATCATAAATGTCACTGTTTGACAGAAAGATCATAAATGTCACTGTTTTACAGAAACAAATTGAAGAGCTTATTGCTAAAAGTACTTAAATCACAAAGTAAACGTTTTAAGAAAATCTTTTTTGATTAGAGATATAACACTTCAAAATAGGAATTAAAAATAGCTGATCAAAGTAGATTTTCTTAAAACATTTATTTTGTGACTTAAGTACTTTTAGAAATAAGCTCTTCAATTAACATCGTCTGCAAACATGATACTCATAAGGTTAGAAGCTTTAATTAAATTGTTTACATAGATTAAAAACAAATGCGTTTCCTAAATTTAACATTGTGGAACACCAGATTTTATTTCAATTACTTTTTTTTGAAAATTACCAACAAACTTTTTCCTTCTTGTCAAGCAACTTTTATACAATTTTATCAATTTATCATTAATTTCGTAGAGTTTAAACATTTTAAGTAAAACTTCGTGATCTGATGTTAAAAATATCTAGCGTATAGAGTTATTTGCCGAATAAATTGGAGATTTTATGGATGAATTGAATAATCAATTGCTCAGTTGAACTATTATTTTTAAAACTGAGTTGATTCTTATATAAAAGTTTATTCAAATTCATGTAGTTAAATGTTTTATTGTATACAATTCTTTTTGAGATTTTCAACTTCATTGAAATGAAAAAGATAGGACTATAGTTACTGTAGTTACGAACATTTTTTAAAAAGTTGTATGATAGGATTAGATGTAGAAAAAAATGAATCTTTACAAAGAATTTGTTTTTTTCAAGAAAACTTAATGTGTCCATGCAAACAGAAGTTTCAAATAATTCATTCTAGGACCAATAGATGAGACTGATTTTTCTGTACTGGTCTTTATTTTTCTGAGCGTTTTTTTCCATAAAATGAGGCAGTGGCAGTTAGTCAAATTGAACTTTTAAAGTAAATTACGGGTGAGCTAACACAGTAACTAAGACGCCTTTACTATATTACAGACGAAAATAAATACTCCTATACATCAAAGATACTAAATAGTGTTGATAACAGAAATTTCACTTTTTCTAGCTCTTTTTTAGAAAGCGATTCCTAAGGCAGCAGGACATGGAACAGACTGCACTCAGAGACAATTTTACGAAGGTGTGGGGGTGTGACCATAGAGAAGAAGATTTTCAAATTATAGTCGGTTTTTTGAGAAACATAATCAGCTAGTTGGGTATTTGAGCCATTTCAGTTGGAGCAATTTTTGTTTTGCAGAATTTTTTTTAGAACCCAGTCAGTACTTTTTAAAGGTTCACCTCCCCTCCTCCCCATCATTATTAATTACTAATTCGCCTCTGGTTGCACTAGATTACATGTTACCAGTAGCAAGGTTATCATGACGATTATACACCTGACTAGACAAACTTTAGTTTTTAAGTGAGTCATTTCAAGGTACGTTGTTAAAAAGGTATCATTTTGATGTACTTTTAAAGGTATTATTTAAGTGATACATCAACATAAAAAAGTAGGGTATGGAGGTGCAAGTTCGTCATGTTTTACTTTAACAAAATGAATTTACATATAAATCAGCAAACTTTTATAGTTTAAAAGCGTTTTTTTATTAATTAGAGTCTCTACTTTGATAATGTATTGAATCAAAATAAATTCTAAAGTTACTTTTGCGTAGAACTTGATTTTTTCATCATTAAGTCATGAGGGGTGAATTCGTCAATTACGGGGCGAATTCGTCAGTTCAACTAAACTAATTAAAAAACATGTCACTTGAGCAATAGACGAAATTCTTTACTAGTGGTAAAGACAGTTTACCTAGGAGAAAAAAAAACTTTGATAAAAAGCATTATTTTTGAGGTGATAGAAGGATGTTTTCCTTAATCTAGAACAGTAAACCCCTATGTGATGTTGATAAAACTACAAATAGCCTACAGATACAGATAGAATAATTAAAGTAGCATTTAGATAACAACAAAATACAATTACTGAAAGTCAGTTTCCTGATTTCTAAAACATCAAAAAGGATGTCAATTGTTAAACATTTCCTAGAAAATATCAAAATAATGTTAAACATTTCCTAGAAAATATCAAAATAATTCCTAGAAAATATCAAAAAATGATTTTGGCATAAATAAAAACCGTCTCACCGCGCTACCGTACAAAATAGTGTCACTATGACTATTTAAGAATTTACAAGAAGTTTATATGTCCTTTGCACACAATTTGCATATGTGTCAACTCCAAAACATCCTTCACATGCTCACTGACTGCAACCTAAACATTTAAGCCAACTTTTGTTTAATTTTTTCTTAAACATCTGCACAAACACAACTAAAGTCATTATCAGTATTATTTTTTAGAATAAAACCACTTGATAAACTTTAGTGAGAATCAGCTGAAAAATATGTCCTCTTTGTTTTTGTTTTGACTGATTTATTTATTTTTTTTTTAATTTTTTTTTTTTTGATTTCTGTTTCACACTGACTACATTTTTTATTGAAGTCTCTTTAGCAGGAGACACCTTTATAAACTTAACATTACTGGTGATGTAATAAGAGCAATATGGTACTTTGAGGGAGTAGGTTTGCTTTTTTTCCGGATAAGGCACAATAGTCCTTAAAATAGATAAATTGATAAAAGCGTTTGATTTGTCCGTTCGGTAAATCCGTCCGTTACCGATAACGTCCGTTACGTTAAAAAAGTTTAATGGACGGTATTTACGGAAAATTTCCGTTAAAATTTTTTAACGGACCGATGTTATAGCAAAAATTTTATATAAGCGAAAATTTTATAAAACTTATTTCAAAAGATTTTATAAATGCATTAATATAAATTTATAAAAATATTATTTTACAGCTTTAATGAAAAGTTTAAACATTTTTGTACATTTGTTAAACTTATAACTTAAGTTTAAAAATTATAATTTAAACTTATATGTTTTTTTATTAAAAAAAGGTGTTTCTAGTCGATAAATTTCGGTTTATAATTAACGGTTTTTAACGGACCGCCAAACGCCCATGCTTACATAGAACCTAATGTATCTTAAATATTATCTTTTCTTTAACGACGAAGTTAATCCTCGTTTGAGTACGTGCTAACAATTATTACGTGGCAATTTCAAAAAAAAAAACATAGCTACTTAAAGTGTTATTTTAAAAATACTGACATTGATCTACTGAAAAAAATATATTTTGTGGTCAAAATATTGCGTATTTTGATTATTTTTTGACGACAGAAGTATATTTTTTGAACTTGAAATGTTTACTCGCAATATTTAAACAATAATCGAAGAAAAATATATAGAATCTTTATTTAATAATAATCTACAAATATCAGTTGAAAAATTTTCGAAAAAACCTATTAAATAGATTATTAAGTTTTAATGCATTATTATATTAAAGCCGACTCGCAATAATGACGAATTCGTTCCGTGACGAATTCACCCCGCCTTACCCAAACGTCTAATTAATATTTAATTTGTATTTTTTGTATCCAGGTTTTTGCTGCTTCTCGTAACTAGAATAAATATTATAGTTAATAAAATTCTAATATAATTATAAGAACTAATGCTGTTAACTGCGAAAAATTGCCAACGGGGTCAATTGGAACGTTATTAGCATAAGTAAGATTTGATTGCTGCAAACTCTGATTGATTGCTATATTCTCCATAAATTTACAAATAGAATGCATAAATTTACGAATAATTTCTTGACATTTTCAGACATGCTGAAAATAATATAATTTTTTTTTTCTTGTATAAACTATATACTTTTTATTTAATAAAATATACTAAAAAGTAAAAGCTTTGGAATAGCATAGCTTCAAAGGTAACAAACATTTATTGATTTGCTTTAAATTATCTAAGCAAGTATTTTCTAAAATAAGGTTTTAGAAAGTTCTGAGTTATAATTGTTATTATTATTATTATTATTAATTAATGCTGTTGAGATAAAGCTTAAAAAATAAAAATAAAATCACTTTTTGTGCGTTATTACTTAATTTCTTATTATCTGTGCTGCACGTTATGCTTTTCCACTTACAATGATACCAAAAAAAAATTGTGTTGGGTTTCAAAAAAGTGAGTCCATCCAATCTCGTAAGTTGTTAACGTATTAGGAGTTACTGGTTGCCACAAAACTGCTTCTATAGCTAGTACCACTAACTTACTGCAATATTGTAGAAATTGAAATTGTAAATGTAAACAGCAATGTGACGCTGAGTCCACGACAACCCAGGTAACTCCATAAAAACTGAAACTAGCTTCAAGTTTACCACCGGTTAAATTGTTTAATAAGAAAGAAAGAAGACTGAAAAAGCAAAACTAAGAAAACCAGAGATAAAAAACTTAAAGCAAATGCTGAGAACAAATCCGGAAAAATTTTGCACGCACAATGATAAGCGTGGTGTCACATACACCTATTTTTGTAAACTTTTCAGTGACTAAATACTAGGAGACAATTAAACTCAGTGCTGAGTATTTTTCTTTTGGCCTCAAAAAGCCTACTCAATTGCAGATCCAAATGAAGCAAGCATTTTGATTTGAATTGACATCCTTGTTTTTAATAAGTGCACATATCATCAAACCTGTGATGTTTTACAATTTTCTATTTTGTTTTAACGAAACCCATTAATTGCACCAACTATGCAAATAATGGAGTTGTTGTAAAGTATCGTAGAATCACTTTTATCAAGTATAAGTATCAACTTGCATTACTACACTATCATCACGACCACGTTATTACTACACAATTACTTAGCTATCATCAATTAATATTATGTCACTTGAATTTAATATTTGACTATAAAAAGAACTTTAAATAGTATTTTTACTTTTACAGTTTAAAACGATTAAAAAAAAAACCGTCTAGTATTACAAAAAAAACCGTCTAGTATTACAAAAAAAACCGTCTAGTATTACAAAAAAAACCGTCTAGTATTACAAAAAAAAAACCGTCTAATATTACAAAAAAAAATCAAGACGTCAATGCACTCTTCACAATTAAGTCATACTTTTCACGCATCATTGAATTATGTTGCATATGAATAATGCAATGTCGAGCCAATAATTTAAACTTAGTAATTATGGTTGTGAATTAAAAATGTAAGCAAAATTGAAAATGCAATGTCATCAGTTGAAAACTTTATTACATTTGCTTCAGGTTATCCAAAGTGAATAAAATACTTTGCCACATTTAAATCGTCGTTATCTCAAGACTTAATGTCTTGTCTTGAGATAACTCAAGACCTACTATTTCATGACTTGATTTTTTTTTGGCTTGAGATCTTCAAGTTTTGGTTAGACTATGAGAATTAATCTTGTCTGGAAATCTGCACAAATTTCAAGACCAATTACTAAACAGGTATTTCAAAATTTTAAACATTTTTTTAGAAGGGGTATTACTTTAATTTTATTTTTACTTATAAGAACAAAACCTTTCTTTTTGTGATAAGTGACTTGGTGATTTGACTAGCGCATTTGATTGGTAATTCGACTAGCGCATTTGACTTAAATTTTTAACTTAATACAGTAATAAAAATTAACGCAGCAGTGTTATTGCATTCATTGCAATCAGAAAAATTAATCGATTGTAACGCGTTTTTCAAATTGTATACAGTATTTATATTAACTAATAAAAAAGTTTATTTTAAAAAGTATATAAAAAAAGACCAGAGAACTTGAAAAAACAAAACAGCTTATTCTCAAACACCACAACAATGCCATGAAATGGGTAGAATCGTTTTAAATAGCTATTGAGATCAATGCAAAATTGTTTTTTTTTTTAGTAAAATTTTTTCATTATATTTCTTATAATAGGAAAAGATAAAGATAAGATTTTTTTAGTTTAAATACTATGTAATCTAATAGCAAATATAATCAGTTTTGCGTGTTAAACTATAGATTAACGAAAAATGAACCATGATTTCGAATAACGAATCAAATATTGATTCATTCAAACATCAGTAGGGCAACGCTTCTGCCGCCTTTGCTCCCTCTTTTCAAATAAAATTGAATTTTTTTAATTAAATCAGTGGACGCAGAACGTTCATTGGACGTCGTTCGGATGTCCTACGGACTTTTAACTTCTATAAGACTTCTATAAGACGTGTTGACGCCTTAAGGATGTCTATTCCCGCTGTGAAGGAGTCTTATTTTACCCAAATTAAACTGACTTTAATTAAGGCATTGGCCCAGTGTTGCTTGATTTATCGCGTTGCTCCATTTTACTAAAATTGCATATTAAAATTTTTTAATATGCTATCGCTTACATTTTGTTTTCATTAGTAGATTGAAACAAAAGAAATATTTTTAAAAGCTAATATTGAAATTAAAATTTAATGATTGTTTCAAAACATTGTTAAAAGCGCTAGATCAGTGAAATCTAGATCAGTGAAAACATCTTCTTGGCTTCCGGATTTTAAAAACATTTTATAAAACCCGTTAAAGAATTATAAAACTTGTGAAACAATTTTTACTACAGCGTATGCTGTATTCCTTTATGGTTCTTTGAATCCATTGTTTCGCAAGCTTCATCAAATTTCTTTGCTTGGTCTTATCTATAAAATAAAATGCAGTAGAAAATGAAGCAGTTGTTGTTAACTGTGCATCTTCTTTTACAAGCAATGTTTTCAAAGCTATTATGTGAGTTATTAACTTATTTAAAAGTTGTGGAATTAATTGATAAATAATAATTTATTTATTATTCTTAATTTAAAAATAGAACTTAAATTTGAAGTAGCTGCTATTTAATGGTAGAAAAAGTATTTCTGGTCAACAAAATATAATTAATATTAAGATGATGATTTAGTTATAGAAAATGCATTTCTGATCAACAAAATAAATTTATGTTAAAATGACAATGAGACCAACATTGTGCTTATAAGCAAAGGCTCGAGTCTCTATTTTCAAAATAAATGTTTTAATGTTGACAAACAAAATACGCTTAAGGTATTATCATACTGTATAAGCGTCAGCATGCGGTAGGAGTAACCACACTTTTAAATAATAAAAATCATTTGTTTATTACCAACTTTTCGAAAAACAAAGTTCCTATTTTTTGTTTAAAAAGTACTCGTAAAATATAGTCATTAGTTCTAAGTATTGCTTAACGACAACTCTAATAGACGTTTTATAATTTTAATTTATGCCATAAGAAGATTTGACGATGACTTTTGTCAACAAAAACTTTTTGTACGGATACTGTTCTCCAATGTAGTAATATCAGGTTGAATCAATTTCATAACTTTTGTTTACAAATTAGTTTCACTTCCCTAAACCTCCAGAGGGGACTACTATTATCAAGGAGGTTACTCAATTTTTTTTTTCCTTAATCCTAAATGCAAGACACAAACCCCGTTAAAAAAGTCGGCTGTGCGGAGAAATAGGTTGGGTGCGGTTCTTCTAGAGGCATAAGATGGGTTTGAACCTCGAAGTTTTTAATTAAGAGTCAAATGTTCTACCTCTAGTATTCTTACCATGATTCTTTCAAATGACTCATATCTCTGGTATCTAATTTCTATGAGTAAAATATGTCTTTTCTTTTAAATCTGTTTAAATCTAGTTTATTATTACCAACAGTCAACTTTTGACTGTTGGTAATAATAGCATTGTAAAGCATCTCTCAGTAATTTTTTTATGTGCTTAAATTTTTTAATAGTTGTTAACATAAAAGATATAGCTAGAGCGAATAGCTAGCAATCACAATGAATAAAATCTCCCCAGTCTTTTTATTCAACCAGTATTAGCAAATTACTCAAGCAAATACAACGTATTCAAAAATAATGAGATAACAAATCAGAAATAAAATATAACTAAATGTAAATACCAAAATTTAAACATAATATAAAAATTAGTGGAGTCCCGGATATTCTATTTGAGAGAACCTAGAATACAAATGTAGACCACACGGGTAAAACCACAGATGTCACATTTTTCTCATTTTGAGAAACATGAAATTTAGTGTTTAGTGACATTAGATATCTGTTTGTTAATGTATTTAATGTATTTAACTAAAAGTATATTTTTATGACATTTTAGTCCTTACACAATATATAAATGCAGTTTTTGTGCTAAATACAAGAATTATTTATTCACAGTGTTCTTTGAAAGCAAGACACTAATTTTGGACATCTGTGATTTTACCGTTGTAAATTTATCAACTCATAAACAACGTTTGCTTATAACCTTTTAGAGCACTTATTTTTTTAAAGGTAGATGGTAACACATTGTAATATAAAACCACAACGTACTAAATGTATGATGGGATAATAAAACCGTCCCCCCCCCCATCCCCTCCTTTTCATAAAAAAAATTCAATTAAAAAATTATATGAAATTTTTTTGTTTAACTTTATACAAAATAGCATTGCAACCTTATCTTTTCCCCAACCTCATCTATTTATCATAAATGATTCCACGATGTCTGTGTTTCATCACTTTATATTAAGTTTGCATAAACCATACAAAAGGCAACTGTGAACACAACGTTGATAAAAATGTTTTTTTTTTTATTTTCCATGAAAAGTAAAATAAACTTTTCAAAAATAAGATAAAATAATATCAAATAATGTCCACTTAGAAAATGTTTAGCTTCAATAAGTCTTTAGATTTTTATTAAATAAGTTGCAATGTAGCTACGTATGCTTGTTTTAGTTTATCAGGCGCTTCGATCTTTGATCTAAAAATATGGGGTGTAAGACATAAAATTAGATATTTCTAATTTTTCATATAATTAAATTTTAAGTAGCTTTTAGCATTTTAATTTCTTTCAGTGAACATATCTTAAATGAACAAATAACAAAGAAGTTTGGCTTTGAAACTCTGCAAATTTCAGAAATATTTCTTGGATCATGTTTATATATAATATTGAACTGTTATGGTTTTTTTGTGAGATTGTCTAGTGTTTCTGCCATAAACTTTTGATTTGCAATGGCCATGTTTTGTCATATTCTATAGAGGTGTCATGCCTAAACAGAATGTGACATAGTTCTAATTGGTAATGCTGTCAAGTTTTTCAGTTTTATGAACTAGATAATTAAATCAAACTAAAACTTTTCATTTTATATTTTGCCTAGCACATAAGTTGCAAATCAATTTGTACATAAGTTGCAAATTAATTTGCACATAAGTTGCAAATCAATTTGCACATAAGTTGCAAATCTGTGTATATATATACCACCGTATGCTTGAGATACATAATTAATATTTCCGGAGGGTGCTATGCCTTTTTTTTTTCTTTATTTTATAAGCTTTTATCCAAGTGTTTCAATTTTTGTAACTCGAATATGTTTGAGTTTGTGCTTTGGCGATACTTGGTTGCTTACATTGACCTTCTTTGCAGTCTAGTATTGAGACCTCATTATCTTCAAAAGGCTTAAAAAATTCTGGGTAACAAGTTTTATTTTGCTTCCGAGTAACTGAGTAACTTTATAATATTCTAAGCTTACTTTTCTTTTTTGTTTCTCCGATAGCTGCGGCATCCAAAAACGGCACAATAATCTCTATAAATTGCATAAGTTGCACTTTTTTTTTTTTTGGGAAACCCAATCAAATTATTTCATAATTAAAAGCGTGATGAGTTGGATGACATGTAGCTCTTTTCCTTTATTAAAACATTTAAGTTTTTCTCTGATGGAGCTGGAGCAATACATCCAAAACATTCTATATTTACAATATATAGTTGGCGGCATCAAAATCAGAATATTTTTGAGTCTATTTTTGAAGGATACAAAAAGTACACCTTATTGTACCTTTTGTATCCTACAAAAATAGACTCAATAATACACCTTATGAAATAAAACAAAACTTGAAATAATTCAAGATATATATATATAATATATATATATATATATATATATATATATATATATATATATATATATATATATATATATATATATAGATATATATATAATATATATATATATATATATATATATATATATATATATATATATATATATATATATATATATATATATATATATATATATATATGTATATATATATATATATTTATATATATATATATATATATATATATATATATATATATATATATATATATATATATATATATATATATATATATATATATATATATATATATATATATATATATATATATATATATATATATATATATATACATTGTTGTTTTCGATCGACGTATTTTTCTTAAGGATAAAAGTTAGTCATGTGATTTACGCTTTTATTATCATTGGTTTTGTTATAAATAACTTGGACGACTGTGTTTTTTACCTGGTAAACATTGACAACAGTTGTTGTTTCAAAGTTTCCTTTTTTTTTTAAATGACTATAGAACCTGAAGACATAGTTTTTTTGTTATGACTTTTTAAATTAAAATAGCTTAGTACTAAAATATCATAAAAATATATAAAACTTGAAATTTTCAAAGTTTGAAATTTTCAGTGGACATAATTGGTTTTACCCGTGTGGTCTTCAAATTTTAAAGTGTGAAATACAAATTTTTTCTTTTATTTGTAAATTTATTTGCATTACTACAGAAAATAATAATTTTTCTTTGCGTCTAGGTAACAGCCTAGATTGCTTTTTCTTATAAATATGACACTAAGTTGTTGGTCATCTAAAACAATCATAATTTATGTATTTTATCTTTTCTTATGTATTTGCTTTTCTTAGGTATTTTATCTGTTCTTATCTATTTGCTTTACTTATGTATTTTATCTTTTCTTAAGTATTTGCTTTTCTTAGGTATTTTATCTTTTCTTATGGATTTGCTTTTCTTAGGTATTTTATCTTTTCTTATGGATTGCCTTTCCCTCTATTTTTATCTATATTTTCTGTTAACTTCTATAAAAATTCCAATTGAAAAAAAAATTTCAATTGGAATTTTTATAGAAGTTAACAGAAACTATATAGAAATTCTATAGAATTTCTATAGGCCATATGTTTTAAAAGTTTAAATAAAATTCTATAGAACTTTTTTTCCTGGGTCGATTTGGCTTGGAAATCAATTCAACCTTTATCTCTCAAAAATTGCTTTGACACGGCAGAATTATTTCAGATTTCCAGTCCCGTTAACACTGAACTATGCTCTGAGGAGATGACTTTGCATCTTTTAATATGCTCTCGCTGCTGAACAAAATTGATGGAATAAAAAATATGATCAGTTTGGAAAATATCAGCAATTTTGAATCATTTGACTGTGAAGATTCTCCAATGTATATTGAAGCAATCAAGGAAGATGTTGAAGATTGTTTGCCTCTCGAAGAAAATAATGATAATGCAGTTGCTATGGATAACAACTCTGATGAAGAAGAAGCTAATAATGATGAGATAGAGGATGGCACATATTTCTTAGGTATTGAATATATACATTTATCTCTGATCGATATTGGCAAGCAATTAAAATGTCAAAAAGCTAAAGCAATTAAAAAAAAGACAACAACGATAAATTAATGAATAGCTACGAACAAATATCATCAAACATACGGTCAGTAATTATGAAAATTAAACAAGAAAAGCTGCAGAATGCATATCAGCCTACAATTCATGACTTTTTCCGTCATATATAATATACTTCTTAATAAAGATTTGTTTATATAGTTATTAATTTAGTTTGATAAATTTTTTCTTATTTGCGCACTCCTAGTTAATTGCGCACCGCGGTGTCTGTTTCAATTTGCGCAATTAAGCGAGAGACTACTGTATCCATAAGCTTATGCACGGAATAAGAATTGAAGCCATTTGATGTTTTTTTAAATGATATTTTAATATCTTTAATATCTCTGCAAAGTTTTTTTTGTTTTTTTTATTTTTCTTTTAACAATGGTCCAGTACTTTTCCATAACTCTTAATTCTGGGCAGTTTGAAGGATTTTTTGTTTTAAGCACAAATTTCACATTATTATTTTTATACCATTCCAAAGCTAGTTTACAAAAATGAATTGAAGCTAAATCTGGCCAGAACACAGGTCTCTTATCGTGTTATTTAATGAGAGGTAAAAGACGTTTTTGCAAACACTCTTTAACATATATTTGACCCAAAAGTGTGGACTGAGAAATATAAGGTGCTGATTTTTTGCCACAACTGCAAATAGCTTGCCAAATCAAGACTTTTTTAGCAAACTTGTCATGTTTTATGTATTTAAATTTCTTATCTGCTTTTCCTCTACATTTTCTTTTCCTCTACATTCCTCTACATTTGGCAATATAATAGACGGCACAAGGAATTTGCTGATGATCGTACTTGATATAAGTTTTATCTTCTTTAACAATACAGAAATTTTTAGAAATAAAATTGTCATACAACTTTCTGCAGCGGGTTTTTACACTTTTTTTTGTTGTTGTTGAGTTTCAAATCAGTTGGACACTTTTTGTGCTTTGAAAGAATGAAAAAAACATGTTTATTTTGAACTTTTACAACAAAACTATGATAAAGTCCATAAATGTTTGCGCGCTCCCTAAGTGAATGGCTTGGGTTAGTCTTAAAACTGTTAACCAGTTTTCTAACTAGTTTTTTTTCTTTAAAACCCTTCTTTCTTCCACCGCCAGATTTACGTTTGATCAATTTTGTTTGAGGAAAATGTTGAATTACACGACTAACGGTGTATGGATGTATTTGCAACGCTTTTGCTATCGAATTTTAGCTTATATCTTCTTCTTTTGTCATTTTAAAAACTTATTTTAAAAATGACAAAAGAAAAAGATATAAAAAGTATCTAAGTTAAATCAAAAAACTAATAAATTTTTTCGAAACCGAAAGTAACGAAAGTTAAATTTTGTTTACAACACGTTGTAAACAAAATACAAAACAATTAAAAAGATTTTAATATAACCACTGAAAAAAAATGACGTATTCATTCTTTTACATTTATTTCGTGTACACGCTTTAGATAGTTTGTTTGTAAACTTTAGGATCTCTCATAATTTGATTGGTACTGACTAAATAAATAATGAGATCTATTAGCGTTTGTTAATATACATTGTGCATTATACAACATGCTTGATTTTGTTTTTTATTTGCCAAATTGTCACATTAGAATTATATGGTTCTATCTACCTTTTTTTATGTTGTGAGAACTTAACTTTTAATATTTATTTAATACATGTTTTACAGCTGTTATTCATTATAATTATAAAGTATAAGTTGTTTATGTTATCTATATTTCATTATTTAATATATTTTATATTAAACCACCTAAAAAATGATATATAATATATCATTTTTTAGTGGTTTGTTTTTATTATTAATTATTAATTAAAACTTTGATTGTTAAATTCTTTCATCATAAAACAAGGCAGATAGAACCCTATAATTCTCATGCGACAAAATCTAGCTTTGATCAAAAAGTGCTTGTCCTCAATTTTTGATTACTTTGTGTTAAAGGCTTGTCAGTTGGCTGTATTATAACTGTTAAAAATCGTTAATTTTCTTTTAAAGATTATTAATTTATTATTACAACCATTTATTAATGTTTATATATAAACTTATTACTTTGCTAAAACTTACATTTTTTCTTAGACACCAAAAGAATTGAGGTGTTGTTGCTGGATAAGTTGTTTAATGGTACTAGTTACAACATTAATTCATTGCCAAGGTTACCAGGAGGTGTTGTCAACTTGACATTTGATGTTGCTATACAACAATTAATTAATTTGGTAAATTTTTAATATTCATCTATATATAGTGGTTGGTTTTAAAATTTAAAGAGGGATGGGAATATGGTACATGTCGTGACATATCTCCATGTCTACCCATTGGGAAAAAAGACGTCGAAAAGACGTCTTTAAAAGTCTTATTTACGATGTTTTTAAGACGTCTTTTTTTAATCGGTTATGGAAATCTAAAAGACATCTTTTTTCGACATCGAAAAGACGTCTTTTTTTATCTTAATCTTGTCATGAAAAGACATAAAAAATGCGTCTTTAAGACGCCTGATTTTAGTCGAATATGCAACCCAGTGGAAAAAAAGACGTCGAAAAAACGTCTTTAAAAGTCTTATTTACAAAGTCTTTAAGACATCTTTTTTTAATCGATTATGCAAATCTAAAAGACATCTTTTTTTCGACATCGAAAAGGCGTCTTTTTTGTTTTTATCTTGTCATGAAAAGACATAAAAATGCGTCTTTAAGACGTCTTTGTTTATCAACTATGCACTTCTAAAAAAGTGTTTTTTGCTCGGGGTCGGAACAACTTTTTTTGTCATACTTATTAGTATAATATAGTATCCTATACACTATACACATATATATATGAAAAGCTATTTTTATCAAATGAAAATGATAATAGCTCTTCATACAAAGTATGACAAAAAGCTCTTTCTGATGCCGAGAAAAACTTCTTTTAGATGTCAATATAAAAGAGGATGCATTTACTACATCTTTTGTATGTTTAAACATAGGAGAATAATTTATAAATAAAACAACAGTATTGCTAAGCAGAATATTTTTTCATATTTCTCTTTCTTTTCTGTTTCTTGGAGTTGTTGAATAAAATTAACTATTTCACTTTTAACCCCCTCATGTTTTCAACGCGGTCCTTTCTTTTTGAACCAACTAGGTAGAATTGGGACAGGAGTCAAACGGTAAACAGTCTAAAAATAAATATAAATGAGTGTGCTAAAGAAATTTACGACCATCAAAATGACTCTACAACGATGTATTTTATTATGTAGTACTTAAATCAAGTTAAACATTAGCACCTCTCAGATTTGCTATGAAATGCCAAGTTATTGAAAACAGATACTGATATTTTTCTGTCTTCTATGACATGACTTTTTAATTGAATTTCCCTGAAATTAAGTGTTGTAGATTCATAACAATTTAAAAATCCGTTATTGACTAAAGGCTATCAAAATAAAAAGATAATTCAGCTAATACACCTTGAGAGTTGTCAGGGCCGTGCGGTGCTATGATACAAAGAGGCGGCCGCCTCAGGCGGCACCATTAAGGGGCGGCAAAGTAGCGAAATCAAAATGCAATTTCAGGGTTGCAATAATATTAGGTACTAAATCATAAACTAGACTCATTTAAATTTTAATTACTACCAAACTCGTGAATGTTTTTATCACTTTAAAAGTTTTTTCATTGTCCACATTTTTCTATAAAAATAAAAAAAAAATTTCTCCCTCATTTAGCATTCGCTTTTGCTATTCCTTTCAATATGAATAAAAACGTTTTGAAACGCATATTAGCGTGGACTATTTTCTTATTATGTTTTAAAATACTGTTTTCAAACGTTTTTAAACGTTTGTGTTTGCCTGTCTTTGCAAGTTAAATTTTAACTTTGTAATGTCATCATGTTTTTAACTGTTAAAAACATGATGACATTACAAAGATTTTACAAAATTTTTACAAAAATTTATTACAGCAGTGACAGCAATCGTCAGCATGGAATAAAAAAGAAAAAAATTATCTGTAAGTCAATACAAAAAGAAACGCTTAAAGAATGAGGAACAAGAAAGAAAGCTCAGCAATGTTATGAAGAAATTCTTAGTACAAAAGTGCGGTTTAGATGAGCCATCCACATCAGCAGCAACTGATTTGGCAAATAACAACACAGTGACGCCCCAATCACTTCCAGAAGAAGTTGTTGAAGAGAGCCAAATACTAACACCATCAGATCTTCATGAACAGCCGGCCAGCACATCCACGTCAACTGCGACTGCCTTGGATTTGGCAAATAAAAACACAGTGCCGCCCCAATCAATTCCAGAAAAAATTGTTGAAGAGATCCAAAAAATAACATCATCAGAAGTTCATCAAGAACCGGGCCGCATTAGCAGTGGCATTCAGCAGGTATTAAAAGAAATTCCTTCAGATCCTGCATTATGGCTTACTTTCTGCATGTTATCTCAAACTCGTCAACTACTGAGAGAGTAGTTGACTACTTAAAATCTTATAAGAGCCCTCACAATGCACGAAAAGTCTGTAAATCACAGAAATGCTTTTAGAGCATGGAAAGAATTGGACATTCGATTGAAGCAGAAAAAAACTATTGACGCTGAATACCAACGAATTATGGATATGGAACTTCAGCATTGGAGAGGAGTTATAAAAAGAATTATGTCAATAATTAAACTATTGGCCTCACAATGTTTAGCTTTTCGTGGATCAACAGAACATTTGTTTCAACCTAATAACGGGAACTTCCTAAAGTTGGTAGAATTACTTTCTGAGTTTGATCCAGTTATGGAAGAACATATCAGGAGAGTTCAACGAGAGTCTGATAAATGGTCAGTGACTTATCTAAGCAATAATATACAAAATGAATTGATAAATTTAATGGGAAATTCAATTTTAAGAAAAATTGTCGAAATAACAAAAATCGCTAAATATTTTTCTATAATCGCTGATTGTACCCCCGACGTCAGTCATTATGAACAGCTCTCCTTAACAATAAGAGTTGTTACTTTTAACTCCATTCAAAATAAATATGAAATTGCAGAATTCTTTATTGGTTTTTTTGAAGCTAGTGATTCAACCGGAGAAGGTTTGGCAAAACTTATTCTGACACATTTGGAAAAATTAGGTTTGAGTTAAAGTGGCTTAGGGGACAAGGCTATGACAACGGAGCCAATATGAAAGGAGTAAGAAAGGGTGTTCAAAATAGAATACTTGAAAAATATCCAAGGGCTTTTTATGTGCCCTGCGCATGCCATTCTTTAAACCTTGTTGTGAATGATGCAGCGTCTTCTACTACAGAAACAACATTTTTTTTTTCTATTGTACAAGAACTTTACACTTTTTTTTCTGGTTCTACAAAGCGTTGGGAAGTGCTAAAAAAATATGTTTCTCAATTAACTCTGAAACCATTAAGTGCTACTAGGTGGGCAAGCAGAATAGATGCTTTAAAACCTTTACGATTTCAACTTTGCGAAATCTATGATGCATTGATTCTGATAATAGAAGACGTCAATAGAGATGCAGAAACTAAAGTTAAAGCGAGAGGGTTAGCAAAAAATATTAAAAATTACAAGTTTATATGTGGAGTAATTCTTTGGCATGATATTTTGTTTGAAACTAATTCAGTTTCGAAGCTTTTGCAATCTGTTACTATAAATATATCAGATTGTGTAAGGATGCTATCAGAAACCATAAAAAAAGTGAAAAGTTGTAGACAATCTGGATATATTCAGATGAAAATTGCTGCAAAGGAGATAGCAGAGAATCTCGAATGCAGTACAGAATTTCCTGATGACACTGAAGTTAGACCCAGAAGGAAAAAGCGTCAATTTGACTATGAAAAAGCTGTCGATGAACCCTTAACAGAGGAGAAAAAATTTAAAATAAACTTTTTCAACTATATTCTGGACATTACCCTTAATTCTCTGAATGAACGATTCACGCTTCTGGAAACCCATAGCAAAAAATTTCAGTTCTTATATGACATTTTAAAACTCAAGGATATAGATGACAAAACGCTAGAAAATTATTGTTCCAGTCTTGAGTTTATACTTTCGGTTGAAAATGAAACAGATATAAATGCAAATGACCTTAGAGAAGAATTGCGTGATGTATCCAGAATGCTACCATATTCTACGAAACCTTTGGATGTTTTAAATTATTTATGCCAAAATAGCTTAATTAGTTTGTATCCAAATACTGTTGTAGCTCTGAGAATTTTATTAACTCTCCCTGTATCTGTAGCTAGTGGGGAAAGAAGTTTCTCCAAATTAAAATTAATAAAAAACTACTTAAGAAGTTCAATAGGACAAACAAAACTTAAAAATCTGGCATTAATTTCTATTGAATCTGCAATGGCTAGCACTCTAGACTACACATCAGTAATTAACGAATTTGCTAAAGTTAAAGTTAGAAGAGTAAAGCTGTAATACTGTACATTGTTGTAGTTTATAGTTGAAATCATTATTTTAAAATTTCAAAATAAAAAGTAGAATTCGTACATTTTGTGCAGTTTTTTTTTAAATCACAATCGAAGGTTATTTTAAAGAAAAACATTTAAGGGGCGGCATTTCGAAGATTTGCCTCATAATGAGAAAATCTACCGCACGGGCCTGAGAGTTGTTATTCATTTAAACTGGATAAAAGTATTAATCAAAGCTCTATTTTAGCCTATTCAATTAACATTCGACTTACTATTTTAAAAGTGTTTTTAATTTTTTTTTTTTTAATGTTGTTTTTGTTTAATTAAAAGCAAGTTTTTTCAAAAATAAATCGTCCTCCTCTTCCTCCGTTACATTGTAGGCAGCACAAAATGATGTTTAAAGCTTTAGACGTTCAACATTATATTTAGGCATTAGTATTTTATACTATTGTCTAAACATAAATATAAAATAAAAACAAATAAACATATTTATGCATTAAACAAGCTTTAGACAAATAGATTTTAGCAAGTTTGTAACTAACTTTTTTAACGATTTCGTGCTTTTGTTTAGAAATTAAATCACATTTGTTCGGACAACTAAAAAAATAATAGATATTGAAGTTTAATAACTTTTTTAATAAAAGCGTTATATGGAGTGCTAATTATTCCGCATAATTTTTTAGAACATACAAACATATATGTTTTTTTTTATTAATGAGTTTTTGTTTGTCAATTATTGTTGTCTGTTATTTATGGTTATATATGGTTAAAATTATCACCATTTTTCCAAAGTAGTCAACTCATTAAGTTAGCCGGCAACGCTGTTAATATAACTCAAATTTCTAATTTTCACGTGAATTCCCAAAACCATTTTGCTATATATTATTTATTAAAATAGGATTTTATATTATTAATTGCATTTCTTATATTTTTAAACAACTGTTCTCACATAAAAAAATACAAATTTTAGAATGAAAAAAAAGAGGTAATAGAATTATCGATGTGGATTCGTCAAGTAAGAATATATACTTTTTTTTTCGTCAAGTAAGAATATTTACTTTTTTTTTTCGTCAACTAAGAATATATACTTTTTTTTTTCGTCAAGTAAGAATATATACTTTTTTTTTCGTCAAGTAAGAATATTTACTCTTTTTTTTCGTCAAGTAAGAATATTTACTTTTTTTTTAGTCAAGTAAGAATATATACTTCTAATATAAAATATAGTTGATACATTTATGCATTATATTAATATAAAATTTTTTTAATGTGTAATAAGTATGGTAGATGTTTATGTTGTTGTTGCAGTTGCTGTTTTTTTGTAGTTGTTGTTGTTTTGTTATTGCTGCTGCTGTTAAAGTTATTTTTCTGTGTGAATTTTTTATATAGTTTTTGTTACTGTTTTTGCGGATGATGGAATGTTGGGTTTTTATTTGGGTCAGTATATGATGACGCTGCTGTTTTTATTTTTGTCGCTGTAGTTATTTTGTGATTGTTGTTTTTTTTGTATTTTTGTTGTTGTTATTTTTTTAATCTTAAACTACTTTTTATATTCGTTATTATTTTAATTTTTATATAAGCTATTATTTTAAATATGTCTAGTACTGGAATGATCCTTTTTTCGTTTGGAACACAAGTGAATGGCAAGATTTAAACAGATTAATTGTATCACCAGATAGAGTCTGGAAACCAGATATAAAGTTGTATAACAAGTAATTAAAGTTTTATAAACTTAAAAGTTAAAAAATTAAAAGCAGCAATAGAAAAAGTTAAATTTCTTTAAACATAATAGTTATTTTTTTATATAGAGTTTTCAAGTCAAATATAATTATTTTTGCAATATTTTTTGTTTCAAAAAAAGAAAAAAAAGAATAGCTCGTAGTTTAAATAAATTATTTAACATTGTTTGAATGCATGCTTGTTTAAAAAAAAATATATCTTAAAACAATAACTTTTATTTGGGTCTAATCATTCATAACTCAGGCCTGACGAAAAGATTTTTTGATGTTTCAGATATGGTATTTTTGTTCACACTCCAAATTTTAGCTTAAGTATATGCTTATGTCAAATGAGAACGCCATGTAAAATGTTGATTTGCCTTGCAACAAATTTATTTTAAAATGTTTGTTGCACTATTTATGCAAAAGTAGAAGATAATAAAACTTTTTGTCGAATACGAGATAGCATACTGTCTTATTTATTTATTTTATTGATTTTGCAACAGGAATTTTTAATTTATTTGAAAAGGCGATTTAAATTTAAAAAACTATCAAAAGATCAAATTCAGTAAACGAATCAATAGTAAAAGATCAAATTCAGTAAATTAAAAATGACAACGGACATTAATGGCCATTAAAACTTAGATATCAAGGGTCAACACAACCTGAATAACTTTCAGCATTACCAACTAGGCAGTTATGTTGTACTTTATTTTAAAAATGGCACAAGAAGTCCTTTACAATGAACAGTAATGGATGGTTGAGGCTCTCACCATCCTGTGGCTGTTTAATGACCCACTTAAGAAGTTTCTTACCTAATTTACACAAAGAACCGCAGTAAAAAATTATTGAAAATAACACAACCAAAATTATGCAGGACCAACTCATCACTAACTAACTCGCCAAAAAATTTAGTTGAAATCTTTTTTCTTTTTTTGTTTTAAAATTGTAAACCAATCTTCACTTTTGAAGAAAGTGTTATAGCTTTTGAAGAAAGTGTTATAGCTAATCAATCTTCACTTTTGAAGAATATGTTATATTTTAAAATATGTGCTCTTGGCACATATTTTAAAATTCCCTACGGAGAATTGCCATATTGAGTGTAGCTGCATCCCGACGTTTAAGTGCTTTGGTATGCAATTTTTCTCTGCAATAACTTTGATACCGCACACACATGAAGAACATTCTCCCTAAGGATAAGAAGCAAAATAAATCAAAATTTATTTTGGTCAAGAATTATGAAGTGCTGGTTAGCCACTTGTCAACTTCAAATATATAAGCGTCTAAATCAAATCAGGATATCTATTTATAATTGCAGCATTAAATGGATGTCTACTTTCCAAATCTTTTTGTGCATAAATTTTTTTAAGGAACCTTTCTGGTCTGGTTTTCTGGTCTGAACTAAAGACTCGTAAAAGAGCCTAATGTGATGCACTTTTTTCAAAGTAAAGATATATTTATTGACCAATTCTAAAGAAAGTTTTTATTTCTGCACACGATGTAACACCATAACCTAGCACTAGGTTTAGCCAATGCCACTCACAAGAAATATAGAATGCGTTTGTTAAAGTTTGCTGAATTCTTTGCTGAACTTCACTGTAAATACTACTCATCAAGAATGCTCCATCATAACCCTGTCCTTATTATTTGTTAATGCCTTAACTTATTAAATATCTTAACTTGTTAAATATTGGTTTTCAATTAAAAAAACAGTGATTAGGTTAACAGATGCTTTTATAGATCCTGAAGCTATTAGAAACCAAGGAACGTTTCTCTTACTTCTACGGTTTTAGTGCCATTGTCAAAGTACACTTACAGAATGGTTGGCCTTCAAAGTATTGATTTTTGTATCGTCTATAACTGAAAAAAATGGCGCCGAACAAATTTTTAACATCAGATGCTCTCGAATCTTAGAACTAAATTTGATATCAATTTATTATTTATCAGTTCCTTTAAATCAGAATCACATTTCGAAAAAATTTGAAGTCACCAAAGAAAATTTTCAGATCCCACAGAAATTTTTCTCGATGAACACTAAAAGCAAGGTTAAAAGAGGCTGTAGAACATTGAACCAATTAAGTATTGTTCAGAGAGTTGTTTTTCGAGCCCTTTTTTGAAATTAATGGTTTGACAAGCCAAAGTTTGTCAAGTCACAACTTTCTTAGGTTAGTTTTGACCATTATAACAAGAAAAAAATTTTCTGCTGGTACCTGATTTTGTAGTTGTGTTGACCATTCAGTCTGCATGATCGTGTTTAGCTATAGCGTACCTCAAACTGTCATCTGCAATTGCAGTAAAGAAGAGACCTCTGATTGACGGGATTATTAACATGAAATCCGGTAGTATTGATAATAGACATGAATGAAGTTTTAGATATTTGTTAATCGAATTTGGTGTTTGCATCTAAAGATTAAGATGAAAGAACCACAATTATTGCTTGTCATAATCACTGGCACTCTCAACTCTCTTGATTCAATGCAGGTGTCGATAAAGACTCAGGATCAAAAGTTGATGCTAAAGCGCTAAAGCATGTTTTCAGTTTAGGTACGTTAGTAAGAGCTCGCTTTTTCTTTTCATAATTTTAAAAAAATTTTTGGCCACTCTTCAATGCTCTTTTGGAGATTTTATATATTTATCTATATTGTGACATAAAAGCTAAACCTAAAAAACGGCACTGTAAACCTGTAACACAACACATACTTACTTTAATTTGTATTATTATTTCTGTTAATAATTAAAAAATGAAGTACAGCACGTGTAATGATCAATATGGATCATTTATTTCATTTTCTTAAATATAAAAATTAAAATTAGTTGCTTTCGCGGGACGCTTAGCAATTCACCGAAATCTATGTTTAATTCGTTTTGTTGTTTTTTAAAACATTTACTAGCACACAAGCGTCTATGATATTAGCTTAGATCAGATTAAACGTTTAAAACAGATTAAAATATTAGAACGTCTATTTTGTTAAAAATAGGCTTGGTGATGTGTATACTAAAAAAAAAACTATAATGACCGTTGAGGGCTCTAAAAGGTCGAGGGCCTGGGTTCTTTGAATCCTCTTAACCTCTTATTGGTATGCGGCACTGTATTTTAAAGGGATATTTGTTAGAAGACTTGTTTTCATTTTATTTTGTAGACCATTTTGTAAATCTTGGTTTGAAAAAATCTTTATATATTTTTTTAACCCAAAGTAAAAATATTTGTATTTGTATTTGGAATTTTAGAACAGCTTGACCCCTGATTTATAAAAGCAAAATATTAAAAATTGTAAGTACGCAGAAAATTGGCCCGGATGGCGAGAACTCACTGTTTTTTGCCGAGATCTTGGAAAACGGGCTGTGTAATTTCTCATATCAATTAGTACGCATGATTTTTCTTACATTTCTTTAATTTTAAAACTTTCATTTATTATTATTATTACAACTGCCAATTTATGCGTACTAACAATTTTTAATGTTTTGCTTTTATAAAACAGCTCCAAACTATCAACCATTTCAGTAATGTAGAAAATTTTTTGCGTCACAAAATATATTTATCCGCATTTCGAATTTAATTCTCTGTGACAAGACCTGATGGTCTTCTTTGAGTATCCGCGTTCTTTATATTTATTAATATTCTTTATATTATTATATTATTCTTAACCATATATTGACTTGTTACCTTTTCTTTTTTACTTTTTATATTATTTGTATCTGTATCATAAATATTGTAATAAAGAACAAAAAAAAAAACAAAAAAATTCATAAGAAATTTTATTAATTTGGTTAAATGTTTGTTAGCATATCAATACAATAATCACTTGCGCCACATAAAAAAATTCAATTTATAGCCACTCAAACCGAGGCTGTTGCCTAAAAAGTTTCAAAATAAAGGGAGTGTAATATGTAAGCTGCGTGTGTAATAACAGGTTAAGCCATCGTCTTGCATTTTAAAACTATGGTTTTTCCAAACCATAGTTAAAGAACTGCTGAGGTATAAAGAAAAATAAAATTTTTTGAAAGAAACATGCATAATAAAGGGTTGCAACACTTACTTAAATGAAAACTACTTGCAAGAAACTTCCCTGAGCAACACTATCTATAATCATGGAAGTGTTTATTTCAGGTCTTAAAATTACATTCAACATAATTATTTATATATTTTACAGCATACAACATAATTATTTATAGATTTTACAGCATACAAACTCAAATATAACTTTTAAAAGTTGTTTTTGGCTAGAAACGTCATAAATAGCTTACGCAAAGTCCGAGTTCCAACTACTGTTATAACTTAAAATGAGGGTGCGTAGGTCCGTGTTCCAGCTACTGTTATTACTTGAAAATAGGGTTACTCAATAGTGTAAAAGGTAAAGTTGATAACAAAATTTTTAAAAAGTTTTAAATAAGTTTACTCTTAACTATACATCATGAACGCCTAATAAGGGCGACATCACTAAACAACAAATTTAATATTAAAACCCACGCACCCTCTTTTCAAGTTAAAGCCTAATTAAAACTCGGACTTTTCGTGAGCTATTTGTATTTTTTCTTAACGCTTCTAGCCAAACACAACTTTTAAAAGTTACATTTGAGTTTGTATGCTGTAAAATCTATAAATAGTTATGTTAAAGAAGAAGAATACATAAATAATAAATTTATATTTTTTTCATTTAATCTGATAAAAAGACATTTTTCTTAGTGTATATTCGAGACTGAAAATGTTGGATTTTTTTTTCTGTAAATATTATATTTAAAAATGTTTTAAAATATGGGTTAAGCTGAGTTAAGCTAAGATTTTGTAAGTAACTTAAACATTAGTTATTTTAGGTAATATTTTGAAGAAAAAGTTCCACATAAACCTTTTTTTTTTTAATTTAACTTTGATTGAGTAATAACTAAAACATTGTTTTTTAAATAAAAATTTATTCTTTTTTTTTTTAGAATCACAATCAATGATAAAGGAGATGACTAAAAAAAGTCTCTACGAGATCTTAAAACAATGTTCAAACAAAAAAATTGATGACAAATCTGCGTTTTTAGATCACCTCAAAATTATTAGAAAATGAAAACGAAGTTCACTAAAAAATACCTTAAAGACGTTCAAGTTACAATTTAAACTAAAAAAGGCTGCTATCAACGTAGAAGAACGTTTTTTAAAGATAAACGAACTATGACTCAATCCACTATATGTTTATCTACCTGTATAATAAAAAAGCCTAGCCTACCATCAAAAGATTTTAAGTTGTTGAGTTTAGCAAGAAAAAGACGTAAAACACAAGAGTAAATAAAAAAACAATGTTATCCGCCACAAAAGTCCAATAACAGTTTCAGAAACATGTTGTGAAACTAAATCACAAGATATTCTAGATCAAAAATTTAAGTGCTTGTGTGTGAATATATAAAAAAGTCTTAAAGAAGAAAAAGCAATTTTGAAATTTTTTGGCTTATAACCAAAAACAGGTAGTGATGCAACAGATAGTGATGCAACAGATAGTTAGCAACAGATAGTGATCAACTGGTAGTTAGCAACATATAGTGATGCCACAAATAGTTATCAACATATAGTGAGGCAACAGATAGTGAGGTAACAGATAGTGATGCAACAGATAGTGATGCAACAGATAGTTAGCAACAGGTAGTGATGTAACAGATAGTGATGCAACGGATAGTTAGCAACAGTTAGTGATGCAACAGATAGTGATGCAACTGATAGTTAGCAACAGATAGTGATGCAACAGATAGTTGGCAACAGGTAGTGATGCAACAGTTGGTGATGCAATGGATACTTAGCAACAGATAGTGATGTAACAGATAATTAGCAACAAATAGTGATGCAAACATCTTTCAAAGTTTTTTGTACCTCTACGGCTCATATGCTATATTGGTGGCTTGAAGACTATTTGGCAAAACCCAGTATCTAATTCTACAAGATATTGTTTTACAAAACGAATTCATTTTATCCACAAAACTAAAGGTATAACATATGAAGAAATCTGCAATATAAAAGATTAAATAAAGAACCTAGGAAAAACTAAAATACTGAAGGTTTTTCGTGGCATTATACAAATAAAGCACACCTTATTATTTACAATGATCAATGAAAAAGTATACGATGCTGCAACCAACGCGGCATCTACAATGAGGTGCTATGTCTGTAGACAAACTTCAAAGGATTTTAATAACTATAGTATAAAAAACATAAAAAATCCAGATGCCCTTAAATTTGGATTATCAATATTATATGCAAGCGTTCAATTTTTTGAATTTTTTTATTATATTTGTTATGCCGCATTTCTATATAAAGAAATGGCAAGCAAACACAAGAGGATAAAAAAAATTGTGGTGAAAACCAAAAAAAGACATACATGATACATTCTAAGAAAAGATGGGGTTGCTGGTGGATTTAGCGTAAGCAGGTTTTAAAAATACTAATAATAAAAATCGACTCCTGTGATCCTTATTATGGGTCACAGGAGTGGACACTTGAGTGGCTATAAATTGAATTCTTCTATGTGGCACAAGTGATTATTGTATTGATATGCTAACTAACAGTTCACCAAATCAATAAAATTTCCTTTGATTTTAATTCGAAATGCTGATAAATATATTTTGTAACGCAAACAAACTTCTACGTTATTACTGAAATGGTAGTTTGGGGCTGTTTATATGGAAAGCGGGCTGGCTCGTTTGCCGAGGTAGCCCATTTATTTTGACCTTGACGTCATCCTTCTTTAACTTTTTTATTTTTGCGTTTAAATAAACAAACGAGTTAGCCTGGATGGCGAGAACTCACTGTTTTTTGCCGAGATCTTGAAAAACAGGCTGTGTAATTTCTCATATAAATGAATGCATGATTTTAACTCATGATTTTTCTTACATTTCTTTAACTTAAAAAATTCTATTTATTATTATTAGTACAACTGCCAATTTTCTAAATTATATATAAATTGTATTATAGATTATAATAAATTGTATATAAATATACAAATTATATATAAATATATATAATATATATTAATATATAAAATATATATATATATATATATATATATATATATATATATGTATATGAATATATATATATATATATATATATATATATATATATATATATATATACATATATATATTCATATACATATATATATATATATATATATATATATATATATATATATATATATATATATATATATATATATATATATATATATATTAATATATAAAAAAATATATATAAATATATTTTTATATATATATATTGATATATAAAAAAGTATATATAAATTTTTTCAAAACAAGACTAATAAAATGGTCACAAAATAAAAGAATAAAAAATCTTCTAATAAACATCTCTTAAAAACAAACTTTTTATTTATTTTAGTGTTAAAAAAACAACGAATCTCTTGGTATTAACTAAATAAACACCGGTTAAGCTAGTTTATGGATTTGCAAATAAATTTTAATCAAATACAAAAACGAATACAAATAATTAAGGAAATTTTTAGTCAAATACAATACGAATACAAATACGCTAAATTAGCCAGATTTTACCGAATACTAATGCTTACAAAAATATTGAGAGAAAAAACAACAAATACTTGTTCAAAATGTATGTTTATTAGTGCGTACCCCCCATCCTGTTTATAATTTGCAATTATACCTACTTGAACTTGAAACTTGAACCTTCTTATTTGTAGTTATAGTTATATTGCAGACAACTTTCATTCAAAATGAATTTTATGCATAAAACAAAAAGAAAAAACATTAATATTGGTATCATACTATGGTAGAAAATCTTGCAAATTGTGCTATTAGCTACAAAGCAAGAATGCTTTATAAAAACCTTGACCTTGATGCCAATAAATTTGATTTATGTGAGACCAAGACTCATTAGATAAGGTAGAGTCAGTTAACAACAATGATGGGGCAGATTTTTAATCTTAAAAAAAAGAAAGTTGTATACAACAACTTATTGGTAATAAATAAAAAATTAAAAAGCCACTCTGCACAACCAACTGTTTAAAGAAGCTAGAGACGATAGAAAAGAGACGATAGAAAAGAGACGATAAAAAAGAGACGATAGAAAAGAAATCCAATTTAGAAATGGTAGAAGCAATGCAAGAACCGACAAAATATTTTACGAGAGTTATTAACACTATGTGAATCAATGACTTGGGAAATGACATAAGTCATTCTATTGAGCTTCAGGTACAGGCTGTTATATAAACTCAACAACAATCATTTAGCCAAAATCAGTTCTATCAACATCCATTAAATGTATATTCAAAAATGCAAATTTGTCCCTAGGCGTTACCAAAAAATATTTGCCTCGGAAAAAATACATAATAAAATATTGAGGAAAAAAAACAACAAATATTTTTAGAAACAATCTTTACGTATATAATGTTCAAAATGTATGCTTATTATATATACATTTAATGTTCATAATCATCTAAAGCAATTATAAAATTAAATTTCAGTGATAGTAGTCTGAAATAAACGAAGAACTTTTGAAAATTTTAAATTTCATCAATAGATTTAAAATTTTACTTAAAGATAAGTAAACGTTGAAACGTTATTACTAGCCCAAAGTTTCAGATTGATTGGTCCGAGGTTGTGAGATGGCACCAATCACCTTGAGTTTATACAATATATAATTGTTTTACACTACTATGAGTTGTTTCACTATTTTTTTTAATTTATTTAGCGCAGACAAAGATTTTCAAGGATTGGATGTATTTGGAAAAACTAAAGTAACAGTTTATAGCAATGGCAATGTAGTATGGCTAATACCAACAATTTTAAGGTTTATTAATAAAAACTTTAATTTTAAATATAAAATTTACAAATTTGTTCACGAATTCTTGGAACTGTTTTCCTCTATCTAAATGTTTTAAATACTGTTAAAGTAATGTTCTTTTGAATTCAAATTTTATTTGCTTTTCAAAAAACTTTTTTGAGCCTTTTTATACTTATTTCAGTAAACATAATATATTTTAACATTATAAAATAATAATAATATAAAATAATAATATATAAAGCATTTTATTTATATAAGAAAATACCATTTTGCTTTGAAATTGTTTCATAAGAGTTGCTTTTTGTAATAAAAAATTTAAGTCAATGATTATATTTTTTCAAAAAATAAATCTTTGCTTTACTAGTATCAAGTAAAGATTCATTAGATGTTTATTCACTAAAAAAAATATCATTTCGCTGTAGTTTATTTCCTATTTCTTTACACTTTTAAAGCATAAGCTACGCTCCAAAACATAAGAAATCAAATATAGGGGTAATTGTGAATCAAGGTGAGAAAAAAAAAAGCAAAATGTGTAGATGTTTACCCTTAGCGCTGCTCCTTTCCATTCATTTAGTTTATAAATGAAAATGTTAAATTAGGAGGAAACCCTAAGTAGGTGGTGGTAAATAAGTAACTTATTGGTTTTTAGGTTGCTGTGGTATTTCTGATTTTTTTGTTCTTCTTTTTTTAAATCCCAATAATAAAACTTTTATAAAAAAGTTTACTTTTTATTCGAAAAATGAAAATAAATTGGTTGATACTAATTAATATTCGTTTAGAAGTACGTGCAAGCTTGATATGAGGTATTTTCCTTTTGATGAACAAATTTGTCCTTTAACTTTTGGGTCATGGGTATACGATCAAACTGAAGTCAATTTTTTTTCCAAAAAAGCTCACGGAGATTTATCATATTTGTCAAAAAGTGGAGAATTTATAATTGAAAGTAAGTAATATATATATATATATATGTATATATATATATATATATATATATATATATATATATATATATATATATATATATATATATATATATATATATATATATATATATATATATATATATATATATATATATATATATATATATACATATATATAAATATATATATATATATATATATATATATATATATATATATATATATATATATATATATATATATATATATATATATATATATATATATATATATATATATATATATGTATATATATATATATATATATATATATATATATATATATATATATATATATATATATATATATATATATATGTATATATGTATGTATGTATGTATATATATGTATATATATATATATATATATATATATATGTATGTATGTATGTATATATATGTATATATATATATATATATATATATATATATATTATATATATATATATATATATATATATGTATATATATATATATATATATATATATATATATATATATATATATATATATATATATATATATATATATATGTATGTATGTATGTATGTATATATATGTATATATATATATATATATATATATATATATATATGTATATATATATATATATATATATATATATATATATATATATATATATAATATATATATATATATATATATATATATATATATATATGTATATATATATATATATAGAATTAGATGTTGTACGACATTCGAAGCGCTGTGCGTGTTGTCAAAATCCATGTGTTACCTTAACTTTTAATTTACATCTTCAACGTCGAGGAAAGTACTATCTGTTTAAAATTATTCTTCCTGGAATTTTGATTGCACTTCTTTCTTGTTTTTCGTTCATTCTTCCTCCATTAACTAGTGAACGAACAGGTTTGGTAATAACAAATTTACTATCTTTGTCTGTTTACGTATTAAACGTGGCTAATTCTGTTCCACCAAGCTCTGAAACATATCCTGTTTTGGTAAAGTAAGTTAACTTTATAAAGTTATTTCTTTGTTTTCTTTAAAAATTCAAGTGTAAATAAAGAAAGATTTTGCACTAAAGCAATGTTTAACTTTTTAGGTTTATTTATCAAAAAAAATAAATATGTATTTAATTTTTTATCCATTTTTTTTTTTTTAATTTCTATTTTGAATAATTTACGGAACGAATTTTAGGAATAACACAAATAAGTTTTTGCGATATTATCAAATATCAACGCTTTATTCTTTATTTAGATACTAAACATGTACAAAAAATTACCACACTGATCACCTTTTACTCTTACAACATTTTTAACATTCAAAATTTTAAACATCGCTACTTTTACTAGGAGAAAACCTTAATGTTCATGAAAATTCTATTTAATAAAAAAATGTTAATGCGTCAATAAAAAATAAGTTAAGCCTGGCAAATGGATAAATTGAAAGGTTAACTCTGTTCTTTCCCTGGTTGATTCTGTTCTTTCCGTAATTGAAAAGAAAGCAAAGAAGTTTTTGAAACATTGCGAAGTTCGAATTATTTTGTTTTGTTTTCACTTTTTGAAAAAAGTCCATTATTTATAGTGTTATGTACCGCAGAATAACGTTTAGAAAACTAAGTTGTACCTAAAAAAGTTGTAGAGAAAACATAATTTATAAAAATGTTTTTACACGCCATCTCCTAAAGTTTTTATTTTAAAAATCTCAAAACTCAAAAATTTGGAGGTAAAACAAAATAGTTCTGTCGCAAATGGTTATACTAAAGTTGTATTTTCAAGAAACGACAATGGAATAGTTGATAGATAATGGAGTATTTGATAGATCTTTTTTTAATGGCGCTGTTTTAAATATTAAAAAAGTAAAAAACCCTAACCCTAACTTGCACAAGATTAAGTTGCAGCTCAGAAAGATAAAAAGTATGTTCAAACCGTCCTTAATTAAAAGCAAATAATTTAGAAAAATACGCCATTAAAATATGCCTTCAAATCTTTCGAGAAATTTATATTTTTTAACTTTTTTTAAATTTATGATAATAAATTTAAAAAAAGTTAAATCTTTTGAATCATTCTCCAGTAGTTGGTGGCTTGAAACATTATTACTTAATGTAAGTAAATCTGTTGTTTTGAAATCTTCCCTTTTTTTTTTAGATTCTACACTATTTTGATAAGTGAAATCGGATTTGCACTAATCGTTAACTGCATTATTATAACGCTTGATACAAAAACCACTCATGTGCCAAAATGGATAGGCGCAATTTTTCTTCAAAACAATTTTAAATTTTTTATTATTGCTTTGAAAAACAAAGTTTTTTCAAAACTATCCCAAAATAGTCAGACAACCTTTCAGAATTCATTATTTCAAGATGCTGTTCAAAGATGTTCAAAAGACACAAAAAATATTTTAAGTGGCTATCCCTATTACGAAAAAACGAAGGCAACAACATTTTTTGATACAAGAAGCAATTTAGAAAAAACTTTAATTACTGAATCAGATCCAATAAATTTTGAAAGTTTTGTTATAAACAAAGATTTTGAATACCTTGAGCTAAATGAATATTTGTGTGCGGAATTCGACTGCAATAAAACTCAGAAAGAATGGAAAGAAGTTTTAAAATCAATTGACGTCTTGTTTTTTATTTTTTTTTTTGATTGTAATAATCGCAAGCATCGTTTTTATTTTTTCAACTGCACCCAATGTTAACTTTTAAAGATAAATACTTTATTCACTTACAAATATAAGAGGTTTTCAATACACCTCTCAACACATTAAAAGAATTGCATGCTATAGGTTGAATTCAATTTTTAAACACCAAATTTTCAAAGAACAACTTTAAAGGTGTCAAAATTTCAAAACGAAGCTATTGTTAAACACTTTAACATTTTTTCAACAATATGACTAATATTATTCTTGTTGTTTTGCATTATTGTATATGAATGAGTTTTGATTTAAATATATTTATATTGTTAGTTTTTAGTTAAGTGCCAATTTAATTCTTTATTAATCACCTTTATTACATTGCAGCTTGATATATTTCATGGTTATAATGCAATGAAAATAACACTTTAACTTTGTAACTTATTGTGGGTTATCAAGCAATTAATTAAACTTTGCATAAGTAATTTTGTTACATTTCATGAAGTTGGAATAATAAGGTTTTATCTCCTTTTTGTAACGTTGAGAGAATTCAACAAAATTTGTTATACACAAATTTTTAAAGTTAAAAGTAAAAATTTGTTAAATTTGTTAAATCAAAAGATCAAAATAGCTTGTTAGATTTATTGCTTAGAACACACTTTATTTATTATTTATTAAATTGATGTAAGATAAAATAGCATATCGGTAGAAGAGAATTATAAGGTTCTATCTCCCAATTTTCTTAGTAAAAAATTTAATTTTTTGTTTTTATTTTTAAAATTATTTTTGTGTTCAAAATTATATAATTTTAGTATATTAATCTTATTATTATTATTTACATAATATTTAAAACCGTATGTTTTTGTTTTTTTCATTGTTTAATAAAGCAATAACACGTAATAGTCAAAATCAGCATCACTCGATCATCTTTGTTCTTTGTTCTTTATTGATTTTATTTTCCTAAGTTTAAACTTTATTTACGCTGCTTCTGATTAAGTTTGCTTTTCTTTTAATCCGTCTGATTCTTTTGATTGAGTTTTCACCAAAGTCAATTATCTATGATAATTACTTTTTATTTTGTCTTTAAATCTGGAATGTGTTTCAATTCTCCTCATTTTTATTAAGGATTTTTGTTTTGACCATGACTTGTTGTGATCACCCTTAATCTGAAAAAGAATTTTTTAAAACCCTTTTTTTATTAGATTTAATTCTGATAAACATCCTTTTTATCATTGTCTTTGTGATGGAGAACCATCAAGATGGAGAACCGGGCCTGCGATCTAATTTATGATTGGTTAAGAAACCCCATACCTGCCTAAATTAAAGAAGTTACACTTCTTATGTAGTTTCTTTAAATAAAACATGGGAACTTTTTATCATTTATTTTTACGGTTTAAATTTAAGGCTCACTTTACTTTATTGTTTCTTCTGTTTGTGCTGTTGCTTTTGTAATTTTTTATTTCGGTTTTTGCATATTTGCAGAAAAATTATTTAACTCTAAGATAAACTAAAATATTTATTTTATCTTAGAGTTAATATATTGTACATAGCAAACAACTGTAAATAATTTTATGTAAAAGGTAAATACGTAAGTTAAATCTTAAAGATAAATCCCTATGCATGAAACATCATCTTGATGAAATATTATCTATGTTTGTTGAAGTTATTAAGTGACTTATTTTTAGCTTAGAATTAGGTACCCTGAGAAGTCCTTACGGTCTTATCAGAGACAACCGTGGGTGAGCATTTAATAAGAAGTTCACGCCTTCTTCCTAACCGATGTCGCAAAACTTGCCCAGAGGTGGGGTTTTAACCACAGATCCTTTGTTTCTGAGACAAGTACGCTACTGCTGTGCCACAGCTGCTAATGACAATAAATATCGGAAAAATTAGAAGTTTATCTGCAAATTTAAATATATATATATATGTATATATATATATATATATATATATATATATATATATATATATATATATATATATATATATATATATATATATATATATATATATATATATATATATATATATATATATATATATATATATATATATATATATATATATATATATATTAGGGAATCCCATAATTTTTTTTTGAGGACCAAATTACATGTGGAGTCGCTAATGAGTGGCATAGTGGTCATATTTATATGACAAATTTTTTTATTTTTTATTTTTTCTTGTTAGAAGTATTCGCGCCAGTCTTTCGAAATTACGCACTTTTCAATTTTTGACCAAATTTGAGCAGTTTTCAACGCAACGGCGCGAATCGATATTGATGTCAAATCTAGTTATTTTTTTCATTTATGTTCTCTTCATGTGCTCCTATACCAAAAAAACACTGTGCTTTTTGATTTAAGAAATATATAATGCTTACCGTTCACTGATTTTCATAGAAAAGTCAAAATTTATGTTATTTTAAAGTGACTTTTTGTTGATCTATGAGGTCATTTTCAGTCATGGTGCAATTGTCATTTTTTTTTACTTCTTATTGGTATCAAATGATAATGTTATTAAAAAAATTACTGTAATTGTAACAAATAAAACCCAACTCAAAACGGTTACCTCCAAAAGATTTGTTACAGGACTTTCAATATTGCGGTGTAGATTTAACTAGATCAAAATGTGTTGATATGTTTCAGAAATATCTATTTAAATTTTGTGTGTGTTATTTTAAATTCTCATTAAATTTTAAGTGCTTATCACAGAGCACCGCGGTATAGAGTTTTACCACGAAGTTCACCCTAATTTTATTATCAATGTCGTTTATATGACTAAACCGGCATAAATCCTCGGACCTCCGATATTAAAGCAAGAACTCTAACCACTGCTATAGCTGCTATTATATTTATTATATATATAATAAAATTTTCCCTATAAGCCAAATATCTCTAGATAATATACGTAATATAATATTTTTTTAAATATATTTTCAAGGTTTGGAGTCTACAGTAAGGTATTGGATCAAAATTCAAATAATTAGAAATATTATAAAAGTTTTGAATTATTAATTCATAGCCAATAGCGAGGAAGCAGGCGTTGTAGCTCACTCCTTGTATCCTTTCTTCGTCTCATTCCTTGTATTCTTTCTTCGTCATACTCATTGTAATGGCACATCTGCCAATAGTTTTGTTGATCCTAAGAGTGTGAGTTAAAAATAATATATAGTAAGTATAGCAATATATATAGTAAGTAAGGTTAATAATGACACTTATAACTTATAATGTAATAAGTGTCATTTGTTTAGGCCCATATTCTAAAATAATTTAGTTGTTACTTTTTTGAATTAAATTATTCTTAAATTATGACACTAATATATTAATATTTAGGAAATTAAGTTTTACTTCAAAAGCTGCAGAATCAGTAAACTCGCACGTCAAAAACCACGATGCCCAGAAAAGAGAAATGTAGTCAGCAATTCTGTTGATTTTTTTGACAATTTCATCACTCAGAAAAAGAACCTGTCTGATCTTGGGGCAAAGCAAATTGAACTTCATATAGTAAAATGCCTTTGCCATGAACCTGGCGTGTGAATTAGCTCCGGTTTTGTGGATTTTATACCCAACTATCTGCTCTTCTTCAAGGAACATAACTAGTAGTTATTAATTACAAGCTCTGCCAGTTCACAATAATCTTTGCGTTTCTCAAAAGTCTAAATATATATAATTAACAATTTAATTAAAAACTTATATGTTTCTTCTTTCTATAATTTTGGTATTTTAAAGTTAGTTAAAGTTAAATTACACGGAGCGGGCGTGTTCCGTAAGCCCATCAACAGCTAGCCGTGCTAGCTCGTGCGAAATTGCACGGAAGATAATGCGCTGTATTAATTATTAAAGCTGATCGAATTTTGCTTTGAAGCGATCGACACTGGTAGCACTGACTACTACGTTAGGTAATGCGTTCCATGGGTGAGTAACGCGGTTGTTGAAGGAGTTATAGCGAACGAGGCAGTTGTTGTCCATTTCACGATGAAAACGCTTGCAATGACCGTAGCTAGGTGGGATGTTAGGTGGATCTATATGCCAGCTAATTGAGTCGATACTGTTTTCGAATTTATATTTTTGAATGAGGTCGCCGCGTAAACGTCTATTTAATAGAGAGGTGAGACCGAGTTTGATGCATCTTGTCTCGTAATCGAAGCGCTTTATTTCGTGCGGTACTTTGGTAACCCGGTGCTGAACACGTTCTATGACATTTATGTTTTTTTCAAGATGCGGGCACCAGGCAGTAACTGCAAACTCGTGATGTGGGCGTATATAAGTGGTGTAAAGTTTTTTCCATATTTTGGTATCTCTGCTTATAAACGTGTTTTTCAATGTCCCGAGGACTTTATTAGCCTTGGCAGCGGCTATTAATGCTTGCCTCTTGTATTTTAAGTCGTTGGAAACTTGAACGCCTAGATCTTTTTCGGATGTTGAAGACTCGATTACTGCTCTAGTGACGCTACCGTTAGCGTCGTACTCGTTCATTAAATAAATGTGTGGGGAAACATTGTACTTACTGAAATGCATGACTTTGCATTTCTTGATGTTGAGTTCCATTAACCAGGTTCGAGTCCAGGTAACAACGCTATCTATATTGGATTGCAGACGAGCTTTGTCTTCAGTGGTTTTGACGACACTCAGGATTTTAGTATCGTCTGCATACATTTTATATAAGTTTTCGCTATTGATGTGTTTGGGTAAGTCATTAATAAATATTATGAACAGCGTAGGACCTAGCACTGAACCTTGCGGAATGCCACTGGTAACCTTTACCCAGGTGGATGACGTATTACCTAATATGACACGCTGTGATCTATTTGAAAGGAGAGCTTTTATCCAGTTAAGAACGTTACCTTCGATTCCGTAAGATTCAAGTTTTTGAAATAATCTTTTGTGAGGGACTTTATCGAAGGCTTTGGCGAAGTCAAGAAAAAGAACATCTACAGGAAGCTTGCGAGAAACGTTGTAGGTCAAAAAGTCCATGGCCTCAAGCAGATTCGTGACGCAGGTTTTTTTATTGACGAAGCCGTGCTGGCAATCGGCAATAAGTTTATGAGCTACAAGGTGCTGCATGATCTTTTCTTTAATAATTTTTTCCATTATTTTGCATGGTACTGAGGTGATGGAGATAGGCCTATAGTTTTCTGGGTCGAGTCTGGAGCCTTTTTTGAACAGCGACGTCACGTTTGCCGAGAGCCACGCTTTTGGGACTACACCTTGATCCATCGATTTCTGAAAAATAGGCAAGCGGGGTAGCCGCCGCATCAGCGCATGCTTTAAGCACAAATGGACTGATACCGTCACCTCCAGTTGATTTATTGGCGTTGAGAGCAGATAGGAGTTTGTGAACGGAATCATAGCTGAAGCTGACGGAGGAGATTAAGGCGGTTGTACGTTTAACAAAGGGAGGTAGTTGTTGATCTGATGGGTCGATTGTGAATGCTGACTGGAACTGGCTGTTAAGTATATTGGCTATGGATGCGTGGTCCCTACTTATTTCCCCAGCGGGTGAGCACATAGAAGTTATCTGGTTACTGACGGCGCGTTTGTTGTTTACATAAGCGTATAGACGCTTAGGGTTCCATTTGTCGCTAGCTAATTTGTGTTCAAATTCTCTAATTGCAGTGCAGGAAGTTTTTTTGATAAGGTTTCGAGTTTGGTTATACTCTTTGACAAGAGGAATGATTCGCCATTTGCTGTTGCGGTTGAGGTACCAAAGTTTTTTCTTACGTTTAATTAGTAAAAAAAGTTCGCAGGTTAGCCAAGGCTGCCTGTGTTTGGCCGGTTTAGACGTGACACGCGGAATAAATTTGTCACATAATTTGATATAGTTGTCGCAGAATATTTGATAACATTCGTCGGCATATCGGTCTTTAAATAAACTAACCCAATCAACTTGGGAGAGTTTCTCGTTTAGATTCGCGTAATTACCTCTCCTGTATATAAATTTTGAGATGTTAAAACGGGGAGAGTTGCAGACGTTTTTGGCTAGCTGGTGTTGCCATGTCATAGTGCAGTGACCTTGCGAGGCGCTACCAAGAGGAGGACCGATAGTAATATGGGTTAATCGTTCGGTTGTTTCGGTAATTACAAGGTCTAGTGTATTTTTGAACAGACCGTTGGCTTGGATGAAGGTGGGATTGATAACGTGCTGGTGTAGATGTAGGTCAAAAATGGTTTTGGCAAATTTAGTGCCAAAACTAGTTTCAGCGCCGGTGGTATTGGTCCAGTCGTCCAGTTGTCGTGCCATATGACGTCGGGAAAGTTGAAGTCACCGGTGATTATTAGACCATTAAACTTTTTGTTTTATACGGCCGATTTCGCGTAGGAGATAGCTTTTACTATTTCGTTAAAGGCCAGAACAGTATTGGTAGGTGGGCGATAGATGCAGCCGATTAGGAGAGATTCTTGTGGGAGTTTAAGTTCGAGCCAGATCTGTTCTGAGAAATTGCATTAAATACCGATGTGAAGTTGAGAGTAGTCAATTTCGTTGGCAATAATGCTGTTCTTGACATATATGGCTACTCCTCCTCCACGACTAGAGCGATCTTTTCTAAAGAGATTGTAGTTGAGAATAGCTGGTGCTGAGGATTAGTTAAACCATGTTTCAGTGATAAAAATGGTGTCATAATCATAGAGGGACGTTGCTAATTCAAGTTCGGTGAGTTTATTAGGATTTAGAGATGTGGCGTTTGCATAGAAGCAGTTTAGTAAAAATTTAGAAGCATTGCTTTGTGAAGTGGGAGAAGACAAATTTTTAATTATATGAAAACGGTCATGAGTTGAATGTTGCGACTTCTCATTGGTTGGTTTGGGCCGCCGCGAGCGCTTCTTTCCAGTTGATGAACGGGTGTTTTTCCAAGCCATTGATGTTGACTTTTTTGCTAACGTCGATGCATTTGACTCTGTCGCTGCGGATGACAAAACGAAAGGGCTGATCAAGTTTACCGTTTGCTTTAAGGCCATTGTTGAGCTTAAATTTTTCGTTGTTTAACTTGTTAAAAAGATTTTGCTCTGAAGGAGTTCTGTCTGGCCGTATGAAGACACTTTTGTATGATTTATTGGTGGCAAGGTTTTTTGCAATTGCTAGAAGACCGTTGCGAGTTTCATTGGTTGGGAATTCGATGATAAGAGACGGTGGAGCTGGTTGAGTGGGGGCAGTGACAGTAGAAGAAGTAGATATGCTAGTGTTTGGCGGCGATTTGTTATTTTTGTTAGAAATAGCGGCAGGAATGCGTCCTACAACTTTGAAGGAAGCAGAGTAATGTACGTATTGTATTATATCCTTTACCGATTGATCGACGACGGAAGCATCGGTACTGGCAGCGTTGGGAATTCCGGTGATTATGGCTCTCTTAGCTTTTGTTTGTTGAAGCTTGGCGTTTATGTTCACGGCATTTAAGATGGCATTGTTTGTGGCTGATCCGGGTTTCGTAAGTTGCGAAGCAAAAGATTTTAGGATTGGTTGAGAAACGGAAGGATAAACTGCCGGTGGTTGGCAGTTAGTGAGTTGTATTTGCAAGTTGGTGTTGGTTTTTTCGAGGGCTGCTACTTTTTCAAGCAGTAATTTGACTGTTGTAGCTAGAGAGCGGATCATGGCGTCACATCTTTTAGGTAAATAAGCAGCCTTGCCTTTTCCTGGACCCGGCCAATTTTCAAGCAGGTCTATTAGGTTTAAAGAAGGTGAAATGGACGATGTTTCATACAATTCGTTGGCGGACATTTTGGAATGTTGAGGATCTAATTAGATGACTGAATATTGGATTTGAGGTTTATGCTTCGAATAAGTGTTGTGGTTGGATAACAAATTTGGTTATTAAGTTGGTGGATAGTTGAAAGGATATTTTATATATAATTTTTGTATATATATAAACAATACTTATATGTATTTAGAGTGGCGGATTATCCATTAGGCTGAGTAGGCTGAAGCCTAGGTGCCCGTCAGCCATAGGGGCCCGGTTCGGAAGATGATTGCAAATTTTTTTTACAGCAAATATCGATATAGGTATGTATCATGGATAAATGAATGTATCAGAACCAAATGTTATTTTTAAACTAAAAAATCAATTTTGTAGCCCAGTTATGCTGCCCAAATGTTTGTTGATTACTTTGTCTTAGTCAAAATTTTGCTTTATCAGAACCAAATGTTATTTTTAAACTAAAAAATCAATTTTGTAGCCCAGTTATGCTGCCCAAATGTTTGTTTTTTACTCTGTCTTAGTCAAAACTTTGCTTTATCAGAACCAAATGTTATTTTTAAACTAAAAAATCAATTTTGTAGCCCAGTTATGCTGCCCAAATGTTTGTTTTTACTCTGTCTTAGTCAAAATTTTGCTTTATCAGAACCAAATGTTATTTTTAAACTAAAAAATCAATTTTGTAGCCCAGTTATGCTGAGAATGGTATTCTTGAACAAATTGACACTACTGACAGCATACATATTTGTAGATATTTTTTGGGATGCTTTATGCATATCGTTAATATAAATTAAGAACAATAATGGACCTAGGATTGAACCCTGAGGAACTCTACACGTAATATCGAGGGCTCCTGACTTTTCTAGTAATACAAATTGCTTTCTGTTAGACAAATAGCTTTGAATCCACTTAAATGTTGAGCCTATTATACCGTAATATTTTAGTTATACCGTTATATATATATATATATATATATATATATATATATATATATATATATATATATATATATATATATATATATATAATGCAGTATCTACATTGTATGTTTTTCGATTTCAGGTCATAATGGCATATCATCACAAGTCTGGGTATCAAAAAGCTAAAGACCGTGAAGATAAAAAGAAACGTGAGGAAGCGGTCATTTCAAAAACTGTTAAAATAACTGAGCTTTTTCCTACGATTAGTGTCAATGTCAATAGAGAAGACCCACCATCGAATTCACCTTTACCATGTGTTGGTCAGTGTGGTTTGCCTGGTCAATTTGGTCATGAATTTGAACCTGATAACAGTGTTGCAGCTGTATGCACTCAATCTATCTCTCACTCTGAATCTTATGATATGGTAGACGCAGAGACACTTTCTCAGAAACCAGAAGCACAAGCTGGTTCCAAAGGTGATGACAATTCCTTTTCCACTGACATTGGGCAATGGTCTGAAGTGGAAATCAATGATACATTCTGTAACTTTTGGGTAACTCGTGGCAGTGAATGTTGTCAACATTCAAATGCTGACTTCACTAGTTCAATGCAAATTGATGGAAAACAGAAGCGCTACTGCTCACAGAATCTCTTTTATCGTGTTCATTCTCACAATGGTGAGAAAGTCCCAAGGTCATGGTTGTGTTATTCACCAGCAACATCTTGCATTTACTGCTTTGTATGTAAATTATTTTCTGCTGATGATAATTCATTCTCAAGGAATGGTTTTTGTGATTGGAAAAATGCAGCTTCACGAATACAGTCACATGAAAACAGCATTGCACATAGAAATGCAACAATCACATTCAGCCAAAGAGTACAAGTCAGAGGATGTGTAGATTCAGCAATAGTTGAGCAATACAGACAGGAATGTGCATATGCAAAATCTGTGCTATAAAGAGTTGTCTCAGTTATCAAATTCCTTGCTTAAAGAGGGCTCGCATTTAGAGGACATACTTAAATATTGGGGTCAAGTTCTAATGGCAATTTTTTGGGAATTTTGGAGTTGATTGCTCAGTTTGATCCATTCCTTTCCAGTCATATTGAAAACCATGGTGGTAAGGGGAAAGGCTCTGTTTCATACCTGTCATCAACAATTTGTGATGAGTTAATTGATGTCATAAGAAAGCAAGTTATGAAAACAATATTGTCTGAAATACGTGGAGCAAAATTTTATTCGATTTCTGTTGACTCTACTCCAGACATATCTCATGTTGATAGGCTGTCATGTGTCTTTCGATATGTTTTGAACGATGGCCCTATAGAAAGGTTTGTGCAATTTTTAAGCATGAAAGGACATGGGGCAGAAGATTTGTTTAACAGTTTATACAGCTTTCTGGAAGAAGCAAAGTTGGATATAAAATATTGCCGAGGTCAGTCCTACGATAATGCTAGCAATATGGCAGGAAAATATTCAGGGTTACAGGCACGCATTCGAGAGAAGAACCCATTGGCTGAATATGTGCCATGTTTTTCACACTCCCTTAATTTAGTCGGTGCATCAGCTGTAAACTGCGTGACAACAGTGAGTGGATTTTTTGATTTTGTACAAAACTGTCTTTTTAAATGCATCAACCCAACGGTGGGAGCTTCTAACCAAAGGATTGGATAGTAACCAGTTAGTTCTAAAACGCCTTTCTGATACTCGATGGTCAGCACATTCTGCAGCAACTAAAGCATTGAGCAAAGACTTTAAAAATGTTAAGACAGTGTTAGAGAACATTGCTGAGGACCCCGAGGAGAAGGTTGAAGCTCGCACTACAGCTGCAGGAATTGCAAAGAAGATGGATCAGTTAGAATATGGAATTTTATTAGAACTCTGGACACCCATATTAGATCGCTTTCATAAGACCAGTTTAAAACTGAAAAGTCCACAACTTGATCTAAACGAGGCTGTTTAACTGTTAACTTCACTAAAAGAATATGTAAATTCACTTCGAGCACAGTTTGATTTCTTTGAGAAGAAAGGAAAGGAAATAACAGGGTCAACTTCTTATAAAGAAGAGAATCAGAGGAAACGAAAATGAAGTGTTCAATTAACCCGTCATGATGGATCAGCTGATGAAACAGTGTTTTCGGCACAGCAGAAATTTCGAGTCATGGTTTTCTTGCCAGTACTTGATCACTTGAATTCAGCATTATGTAAACGATCAGAGGCATACAGTGGTGTATGTGATAAGGTTGGTTTTCTGAGAAACATTCGGTCACTGGAACAGTCTGATTTGCGAAGAGCCAGTAGAAACTTGATAGATACTTATGTAGATGATTTGGAAGAGTCATTTGAAGATGAAATACTTCACTTCAAAGAATATTTGTTAGGTGATACGTACTTGCAACAGAATGAGAAAGAACTGAAATGTAGCATAGAGCTGTATATGTATCGGGCTTTGAGAAACAGCAGTGCACTACAAGATATATTTCCAAATGTTGCCACAGCACTTCACATATACCTCAGTTTGATGATCACCAACTGCAGTGATCACCAACTGCAAAGATCATTCTCTGCATTGAAACGGATAAAAAACTATCTGCGAAGTGCTTTGGGTGATGACAAACTGAATTCCCTTACTGTTATGTGTACTGAATCTGACATCCTAAGAAGCTGTGACTTCAATGAAATTTTATCAGACTTTGTTGAACGAAAATGCAGAAAAATGAATTTTTGATCGTGTTGTTTTTTTCTTTGGGTCAGCCATTTATAAAATGTATACTAGTATCTAATATACCTGATAATTTGTTTGTAATTTTGAAATAAAATTAGATTTTATTATAGATATTATTATTATAAATAAAATTAAAATTGTACTTTTTGACGTATTTTTTAGAAAAATATAGGTATATAGGGCCCATGAATTAGTTAAGCCTATAGGCCCATAATTTGATAATCCGCCACTGTGTATTTATATATAACAACAGCTTTTCCGTATATATAATTATATATATTATTAACGTTTGTCACAATCACACACACAAATTATTTTTATGTTCAAAAATTAATCCGAAAACAACAAACAGATTAAGAATCAGGTGCAACGCAACTATAAAAAAAAACTACTAAAAAAGTTGAAAAACTTTTAAAATAAAATAAAAATGAAATAATTTAAATAGGTTTTCAAAAAACAAGTTAAAAACTTGTTACTTAAATAATATAAGCGCATATCAAATCTTCGAATAATAAAGGTTTATTTATAATATAGTCGTATATTTATATATAAATATAGATACGAGCAATAAAAATAAGATAAAAATAAAAACACTATATATTTAGTTACTATATAGTTAGTTTGAAGCGTTTGACTTTAGTTGATATAATATATTATAATATAGTATAGGGTAATGAATATTAATGTGTATTTAGAAGAAGAAAAATAGTAAGAAGGAAAGAAAATTTTAAAAGAAAAAAACAAAATAAGAAAAAAAATAGCTCAAAAACTTACGACAAAATAAAAAGCGTCTTATCTATTCAAAAACTCTTTGAAAAAAAAAGGCATTTTAAAGTGATATATTTTGTTAACCTGACTATTTCTTAACTTTTTTTTTATTAGGTACCCTTAAGGTGGTAGAGCACAATTAAAATACTAATTCTTGATCAAAATATGAAAATATATTTTTTTAATTCATCTTATTCAAAATTTTATCTTCTTCCGTTTGATGTATGTATGAAATAGAATTTATTTTTGGAAATGTGATAAAAATCTATATTTGCAATATTATTTACCTTAGCAACGCCTTAGCAACCACAAACATACCTTCGTTTACTATAAGTTCAGCAAAACTTGCAAGCTAATTTATCATTTTGTTGTGTCTATCATGCTTTTATTTGTTTATTTATCAACTTTGTTTATAAAAAAATTTGAATGTCGAGAGTTTTGTTGAAACACGATTCAAAGATTTATGTTCTTACCACTATATTAGACCCTATTGTTGTTAGTATTGGATTAAAGATTTATTATTAATTATTAATAAATTATAAATAATAAATAAGAAAATGAACTTTAAAAAAACAAACAAACAAAAACAAAAAGCTGTTTTTGTAAACATTTTTCGAATAACAGATATTCCAAATCCTGAGAGACACAATGTTTTTCCAATATTTGCATCAAAATGAATCATTTTGATGCATTTATGGGACTCCAAGTAAAACTTATAAACCAAATATATCTATTCTTTGATCTTATTTCGATTATGAAAAAACAAAAATAAAATGGATTCTAACGAAACCTTAAATTTTGAGTCTAGTTTTTATAATTTTTTTCAAACAAATGGTTTCTTATTAGATGATGAATCTGATCCTGATCTTAATTATTTTTCTAATTCTGGTGCTTTGCAAAATAAATGCAACTACTTTTATACCCATGAAATTAAAGGATTTCTTGATCAAAATAATATTAACACAATTCACATTAATATCCGCAGTTTAAAAAAAAATTTTGAAATCTTTCGTAATTTTATTGAAGAAACTTGTAATCTATTTAATATAATTTGCTTAACAGAAACATGGTGCAGTTCGGATGACGTAAATTTTTTTACCAATTTTGAACTGCCGGGTTTTAATGTAATTTCATTAGCACGAAAAACAAATAAGCGTGGCGGAGGCGTTCTTATTTATGTTAAAAATAACTTACGATATTTTACCCGGCATGATATGAGCATCTCTGATGCTGATAAAGAGGTTTTAACGATTGAAATTTTAACCAATAAAATAAAAAATAAAATTCTAAGTTGTTGTTATCGCCCACCTTCAGGTGAAATTAAAAATTTTAATTCGTTTTTATGTAATGACGTTATTAAAAAAAGTAACCACGAAAATAAATTTATCTACTTAGTGGGTGATCTGAATTTAGATTGTTTTCAATACCACGTCAATAATAACATTAAAAGGTTTTATAATGGCATTTTTGAAAATGGTGCGATTCCCTTGATTAGCAAACCGACAAGAATTACTCAATCAAGTGCCTCTTTAATTGATAATATTTTAACCACTGATGTTTTTAACGAATCCTTAAAAAAGGGCATAATTAAAAATGACATATCTGATCATTTTCCTATTTTCTTTTCTATAAATATAGATAATAAATTAGTTCCTAATGAAAAACGAGTTTTCAAAAAGCGATTTTTTACAAATGAAAACCTTAAATCTTTTAAGGAACAATTATCTCTAATTGATTGGAGCATTATTAACACCTCTGATGATATAAACTTAGTTTATAACTCCTTTTTTAAATCTTTCTATGATATTTATGAAACTAATTTCCCTGAAGTTAATTTAAATCTCAAAGCTAAAAGTATTAAATCGCCTTGGATAACAAAGGGTTTGCGGAAGTCTTCAAAAATTAAACAAAAATTATACATTAATTACTTAAAATCTAAAACAAATGGAAATAAAATTATATATAAAAATTACGCTAAACTTTTTGAAAGCCTCAAGAAAAAACAAAAAAAAAAATATTATTTAAATTTACTAAATATATCTAAATTAAATTTTAAACGCACTTGGTTTATAATAAGAGAAATTACTGGCAGCAAAAAATGTACATCTCACTCTTTGCCAAACACGGTTAAACATAATAATGAATTTTTATATGATAAAAGACAAATTACGGAAGAATTTAATAAATATTTTGTGTCTGTAGGACCTAATCTGGCAAAAAGAATTCCTATAGCTAACGGTTTAATGAATGATCTACGTTTCCCTCTAAACTCTTACTTGAACTCTTTTGAATTATCTTTTGAAGAGTTTGAAAATGCCTTTAAAATGTTAAAATCTAACAAAGCAGTAGGCCCTGATGGTATTAATGGCAACATTATTATAAGTTCATTTGATGTTTTAAAAGATATACTCTTTAAAATTTTTTCAATATCAATTAAACAGGGAATTTTTCCACATGCTCTAAAATTAGCAAAAGTCATACCAATATTAAAAAGTGGTGACATTGAGAATATAAGTAACTATCGTCCAATTTCACTCCTTTCTGTATTCTCTAAAGTTTTAGAAAGAATTTTGTACAATAAAATTTATAGTCATCTTACTTTAAACAATTTATTATACAGCAATCAATATGGATTCCAAAAAAACAATTCTACTGAACATGCCATTCTACAATTTACAAGAAATATATCTGACTCATTTGAAAATTCTCAATTTACTTTAGGTGTTTTCATTGACTTGGCGAAAGCTTTTGATACTATAGATCACGAAATTCTTTTTAAAAAGTTGGAGTGGTACGGAATTACTGGAAAAATATTAATTTGGCTAAAAAGTTACCTAAATAATCGAAAACAATTTGTTTATGCGAATGATAACGTATCATCTAGTTTGTTAAATATTTCATGTGGAGTTCCTCAAGGATCCATATTAGGACCTCTCCTATTTTTAATATATATTAATGATCTACCAAAAGCTTCTAACCTAATGACAATTATGTTTGCTGATGATTCTAACCTATTTCTTTCTCATAATAACATTTTTACACTTTTTAGCAATATGAACATTGAACTAGTCAAAATTTCCGAATGGTTTAGATTAAACAAACTATCACTAAATATTGATAAAACTAAATGGATTCTTATGGTAAAAAGCACCAGCTGCCTAGCAACTTACCTTTTCTATTTATCGATAACATAGTTATTAATAGAGTTTTAGTGACAAGATTTTTAGGTGTATATATCGATGAAAATCTTACATGGAAATGCCACATTGCTAACTTGTGCAGTAAAATTTCAAAGAGTATAGGCATTTTATACAAAATAAGAAACGTTCTTGATAAAAATACCTTAATTCAATTATATTATTTGTTAATTCATTGCCATATCAACTATGCAAACATTGCTTGGGGTAGCACTTATAAAAGTAAACTTAAACCTCTCTATCGGCAACAAAAGCATGTAGCACGCCTTATAA